ATCTATTTGGAACTATACTCATATAGGTAGTGTACCAAATTCCAATAGAGCTCCAGGTACTAGGGACGAGTTAAAAATTTAGACGTCATGAGTTTGAATCTTAATAATTATTTGGTGTTAAGTCATGAGAAATTTATCGCTCATGAATAACTTAATCTTGACGTGGATATACCTGCTTTTAATCGGATCGAAAAAAAAATTAATTGAGGTACAAATATATTGGTCTAAACATCCCTAACCGTTGAAAAAAAAATTGTACATCTAACTATTTAAGGCTCATAATCCATTCATTATATGTGCACTGTTGATCATGTGTCTACATAATGCATCTAGACATCACTGAGAAAAGTTTTTTGATTTTTCACTAGACTAGGCTAATAGTGGGGTATATATAATTTTTTGGGATAATTATTGAAAATATCAACTATTACTAATTAGTAAGGTTGAATTATTGTGCCCCGAACATCAAAAGTTAGAGTCACGAAAACAATCTATCTTTTTTTACTGGAAGACTGCATATATTTGATTCTCTTCATAGGAGAGAGACATTATTTTGGGTTTTCTAGACCTAACCAGGATTTATTAATTTGGTTTTTGCTTCAAAAATATACTCTAAAATCATATCCATATGATATTTGAATTTCGGTTCAAATTGTGTGTCCCAATTGATGACCTAACCATGAATAATATTCAATTAAAACAATAGAGTTATTGAATTCTCCACTTATCCATTGCTCTTATTAGAGTAAACAGTAATATTATGCTGATTAAATTTTGGGGTCAAATTTAAAACTCAAATGACATTGTATCGTATTATTTGTTATGTCATTTGGACTTTAAATTTAGTCAATGTAACATTACGGTTAGAGCAAATTACTTTTTGACAGAAAAAATAATGAAAACTAACAAAAGAGTTACATTGCAATACATTTGATATATTGAAGGTATAATATAAAAAAAAATAATTTTTGAGGATACAAAATAAAAATCTTGAAAATTTTTAGGGTATAAATGCAAAAAGTCCTAAATTTTACATCAATGTGACATAAATATAAAAAAATAATAATAAATAATACTGTACAATTTTATTTTTTTTATATATCGTGGTCAAACCCTTTTTAATCACCAAATTCTTTGTGATCTTGATGCGCAGCAATGAAGCCACGTGTACATTCATATCAATGACTCCTATATACTTTTAACACAGTACTCCCACAAATTATATGCTTTCTCTGTACGTAACAGAGAGAATCAACCAATCATGAACCAACTTCTGGTATCAATCCCATTCTCGTAAATATAACCAACTTGAAGACTGTTCATAAAACGTAACCCTAAGCCTCAAGAAACCTCATCCTCCTACCCCACCAGTGTGTCACTGGGTCCCACCTCTATTAGGCCAATTAAACACAACTTAAAACGGCAAATCAAATGTAATTAATGCTAATAATATTCTATCATCTCGAAGATTAACAACTAGCTTAGGGAATTGTCAAGGTAGCTGTGTTTGTTGTTGAGAGTTAAAAAGTAACCCTTTGGGCCACGTTAATTAATATTTTAGTCTCGATAATTTGTCTTTAATCGAATTGAACAAAAAATTAATTGAAATGCGTATTAGTTAATTTGAACATCTCTTTCGTGTCCTACAGTTGAACTAAAATCAAAAAAGAATTAAAACAAATTCTCTATCTGTGTGTGAGGTTAGTTTGGAGTAAATCATGAACTCGAATATTTTGGATTCGATTTTTGTGTGCAAGTCAAAGATTTAATTGATATTCATAGTTAGTGAATAATTATAAGTATTTAGGATTAAGGTTGTGTGGACCGGGTCTAATAGGATTTGAAGAGGTTTAAAAAAACAAAAACAAAAAAAGTGTCTTTATACAAATCAATAGGTATAGTTGGACAGTTTTGTATATATTGAATTATCATTAATATCTGTACTAAAAGCAAGGAAGGTGGAGAGAATCTAGAAATGCCCAATTCTTTTCATTTCCTCAGAAACCCAGAATTTATTTATTAGGAAAAGAAATCATAGAGAGAGAGAGAAGTGAAGAAAAAGCAGAGAATAAAAAGGGACCGGATGTTGACAAATTTCATGTCACTGTTCTTAGAAGGTCGTTTGTTTGTGAGGAGATTTCTTATCTGGGATTTCTCTCTCTCTCTCTCTAAAAGACCTTCCTATCTTTCAGAGAGACTGACTGGCCCAGCAGATCGAAATCTCCAATCTTTTCTCCTACCTGATGACGATCTAAGCTTCTTCAATGCCGTTGCCAAACCACCCACTTTGTTCTTTATTTGAATTTATTAATTATTACTTGTTCTTTTCTTGTTCTTGTTCTGCTTCTTTTTTGGCTTTGCTAGTGCCAGTCTATGACTGAATTTTTATGATTCTGAGTTATTGGTACTGGAGGTACCATAGAATGATTCAATCCATAAGGGGCTCTTGAGGAGAGGTGGTTACAGGATGTGGGTCTGAGGTAATTTTTTGTACTACACTTTGGGTAATTTATTTTATGGACTTTGTGGTAAAAGGTAATTATGGGTATTTGTTTTTTTTTCCTCCTCTCCCAATGATGGTTTCATTAATTTAGTTATAAAAATGTTCAAATCTCTGTATTGGGTTTCTTTATATTTGTGGTTTTGTTGGCTCAGAACAATTCTTTTATACGTTTGATATATAATTATCTATTTTTGTCACTTGTTGAAGTTTTCATAGTGTTTTAATTATGGTGGGGTTTGATAATACTCGACTTTAATGGGTGATCATTTTATGTGGGATCTGTTTAAGCTTCTGTTTCAAGTTCTGTTCGTCCATTATAATACTTGCAAAAGAAAAAGATTATAACTTTCATTGCTGTTGATTGGGTTTTGTTGAAACTCTAATTGCATGCCTTTTTTTTTTAAGATTATCTGAGATTGGAAGAGCTTATTACTTAAGTCTTTACTCTGTTCGCTAGATTTTTTTTTTTGAAAATATTTAGGGGGATAAATTCATTTTGGGATCTCACTACTCTATCTTAGTAATGGGTTCTTGGTTAATCGCATTATCAAAAAGTGCATTGTTTCTTTCTTATAAAGATGGGGTTTGATTGCTTGATTGACCTTAGAGTATTGAATTCATTTCGGCGGATAGCGTCTCGACTTTTTTATTACTACACTACACCTATACTTAATCTACATTTGATGAAAATATTACAATGACAACCTGAACATGTCTTGGTCAGATGCAGACTTATTTTTAATCTGTCAAATTATAAATCAGTGTTAGTGTTGCTGCATTCAATTTGCCTCTTGGCTTCAGAAGATGGTTATTTTGTGCCATTCTCGCTATCTGAGATCTGGATTGGGTAGACTATTGTACATTTACGATTTTTCTTCTCCACCCATGTGTCAGATCTATATGTGACGATCTTAAGCACATATATAAGTATTTTACAAAGCTATCTCTTCAGCTGCCTACTATCACGTTACTTGAATGGCTGGTGTTTGTTTTGATTCTATGAGAAATGTGGTTTCCAGTATATTGTGCTGCATTAAAATAAGTTTAATTCATTGTACTGATTAATTTTATTGTATTGTGTGAGGAGCCTCTGGTAAATCCTTATGCATTTTTCTTTGATCATAATTTTGTGTGCTTGTGTTTGAGGAAGTTCTGACAGTTGGTCTAGAGGACCTTTAATGAAGCAAGACTCCTTCCTTGAGGAAAGGAACACCTTTCCCTTGGCACTTTTTTGGAGAAATAGTATGATTAAGCTTGATGAAAATAAGGAAAGGAGATTTAGTGGGTTAGTTGGTTCTTTGGTGAAAATGGCACGATTACGTGGAACTCTATTAAGGAAGGAGATTGTGGTGGGGCGTTTGGGATAACAATCTTCATTTCCGTCTGTATCGCAATGAAGGTTTTCGTTGAATGAATGTTCCTGCTCCAGAATCTTTATTTTCTGTTTCTATCAGCATTACCTTAAGGGCTCAGTCCGAAATGGTTATAATATGTGATGCATTAAACTTGTATGAGTTGCGACTGTACCCCATGCAACTGGACTTTGTGCCACCAAAAACTTGTATACCTGGCTAGTTGCAGGCCTCCATTTTCGTGATTGCTTCATCCCTTCTCACTTCTGGTAACCACTGCTTTATGTTGTTCTCATGGTTCACTGGACCTTTAGATTTGTTACCCAATTTTTTTTTGTTTAGTTGGGTTTAATGTGTCTCTGACATCTGGGGGGCATTTCCACAATGAATCTTATCTTTGTAAGTATGGCCATTTCACTATTCCTTCCCGGATAAGGTTGCTCTTCTAATCCATCGTATCCATTGTTTTGGCGGCAGTGTACTGTGTTATACTATAAGGCATTGTATTAACTGGTGAGAAAATGCTGTAAGGCCACTACTGCAAGAGCAATGCAGTTTTAGGGGATTTAGTGATGTATTAATCCTACATCAGACAAGAAAACTATACTATGAAGTAACATAAAACTAGCCATTCATGGTCATAATATCCGTGGTCATGAACAGCCCAAGATTATACCATCAACCATCTTGATGAATCTGACATTCTTCATGCACTTAATATTTCTCCAACTATGATATTTTCTTTGCCTTGTGGACAGATTTGAGGTCATTGCTGGATTCACTTAGGAGATCCTCATGGTTCGACTCCTAGAGTATATAGTTGGTACTCAGTATTGTAGACTGATTGCACATGGAGTGCTTCACTATCTTTGTTCGGGATATACCTGTTTATTTATTGTGTCTTGCTCATGCTTGTCTGCTTCACTAAATAGGAATAACTGTGTTTCTACCTTTTTAAATGCAATTATACTCAACAAGACCCAAATAGATTCATTGTTCTACAGATGTTCTTATTTACACCTGAATGAGATCTTTTTTTTTTTTCTTTTGGGGGGTGGGGTGGAAGTGACATACTGCCTTCTGTGGCTCGAATTGAATCGTGTTATTTATTTACACTTGCAACATTTCTTCATTCATTGGCAGGAATGGGAACAGAAGTGCACAGTAAAAGCTACTTGCCAGGATATTACTCCATGAGGGACCTTAATGAGGATGCTAACAGTAGTAGCTGGCCCCTATACTATGGAGATAAAACCTTGACAAATGGGCAGTATTACCACGGGTTTATGCCAAGGACTGTCACAGATGCACACCCAGGGCATGATAGGGATGCAGTAAAGCAGAAAATGCTTGAACATGAAGCTATATTCAAGAATCAGGTACAAATGGTTTCAATTATATATTTTGTTCTCTGGATCTCATTTCTGATACTCCCAGCTTGTTTGTGGTTCCTCTATTAATAAGACTCTTCATTTGGCACGGGCGAATTGAAGTCCGTCCTTTGTTTGGTAAACTGTTCATTTATATTGTGGGTGCTTGATTATTTGAATTTTTGTTGTCTTTAGGTCTTTGAACTCCACCGCCTATACAGAATTCAAAGGGACATGATGGAAGAAGTAAAAAAGAAGGAGCATCATACACATCGGATATCAAACGAGACATCATCAGGATCAAGCCTCATAGCATCTCAGATGCCATTTGAAGATGCTTGGAAATGGCATATCCCCAGCTTCCCCCTGGCCAACTCTGGTTATGCTAAACCCTATATGTTGGGTGCCAATATCTTTAATTCTCCCTTGGGTTGTACAAAAGGGAACAGCACACAATCTGGGCGAGGTCTCTCCCAAAATGGCTGTACCTCAAAGGATTGTGAAGTGATGGAGTCTAGACCCTCAAAGGTTAGGAAAAAGTTGTTTGATCTTCAACTCCCAGCTGATGAGTACATTGATACTGAAGAAGGGGAACAGATCCAGGAGAATAAGATATCTGATATTTCAAGTCATCCTCTTGATAAAAATCATGAAGCTGCGTGTAGGAATAATGTAAAGTTGTTTCTTGGTGGTGGTGGGAGGACAAATTACCAAGTCGATGCTTCAACTTCTGTTTCATATTTGGGGAGCTCTATTGGGTTGGCCGATCTGAATGAGCCCATTCAGGCCGAAGTAGTAACAGGTCAAACATCTGTTGATTTTTGTGTCCGTTCTGCTTGTCATGGACAGATTAGAGGCCCGGATCTGTCTGGAAATTGCAAATCAGAGTTTCTAGGCTTGCCCAAAGAACTGATGAGGAACTCCGATCATGGAAGCAATAATGGGACTTTGAACAATCCATCTGTTAAGAATAAAAGCAATGGGAGTGGGTGGTCCTCGAATATATATGAATCAGGTAATTTTTCATATGAAGTTTGATGGAATTCTTGGAGTTGGTCTTTGGTTTCCTCCCTATTTTTTATTTTTTTTTCAGTTAGATTGAATTCCAACTTATGTAGATATTTGGAGTCTACACCCTCATCTGAGCCATTTTTATTTTAGAACATATTCTGATCGATTTTATATGTCAAAATTTCTGTAAGAAAGAAGTATGAGAGCTATGGATTTATAGTATCAAGTCTGAAGGAAGGTACTCCCTGCCGAATAGGTTAGGGAGGCATGAATCTGTAAGAGATACATATTTAAGTTCATTACTGATTCTCATTTTAAGTTTGCGTTAGACTTGACGATGAAAAACCTCTTTTTTATTGATAATCTGTCAATACACCGAGATATGGACAACTGCCTTGCTTATCAGATTTTAGGGATTTGAGGCCATCATCCTGAGCAGTTCCTCTTAAGTGGGGTGCTGGGAGGGATATATTTAACATAGACCTGATCTTTGCCATAGTTGCTCAAATTTTAGGTACTAAGTTCTTAATTTGGAGAACCTATAGTTTGCCTCAATGAGTTTGCTCCTACTACAAATGTCTCAACCACGTCCTAAACTTTTCTCCCCCTTTTGGGTTGGTGCTCATGTTTATTTGTGGTAACTTTTTCTCTTTACAGGGAAGAATAAAAGCAGTCTGACTTCTATTCCTCAAGGTCTCCAACAAGAAAAGTTGCCTATGGCAACCCATCCGATGCAAGTAGTGCTTGACAAAGCTCATCAACTTCCTGGTGTTTTTCCAAATGATCACAGCAGGGAAGATCTGTGGAGAGATAGAACAGGTCATGGTTTAGATATCTTCGATAGAAATCACACTGTGGCTTCCCATACACCAAATCCGTACCCATTTTTGAATTCTGCAGATGTTGTGAATTCTCAGCCTCACTCTGCCTCAATTTGGGGAAAGCCAATCAGTAGCTTGACACAGAAATTGGCATCAGTTCATACCCACCCATCTTTGAACTCATCCTCAACCTTAAGTAGGAGTTTTCAATCATCGAGTCATGACATCTGTGGAGAGAAGTGGCATGTCAATGGCAGTTATAGATCAAACCAAGGCCTGCGAAGCGATCTACAAGCCCGAAATGGGTTTTACCATGGTTCCTTGTCAGGGTATAAGGAACTGTCAGTTTGCTCTCCCTCAGTTCGAATAGATTATCAGAATTGCAACAGGGACGATAACCTAACATCCGGACGCACACTAGATCATGGATCTGAGAAGTTTTTCAATGGCTCACATCTCGTGGACATAAAGTCTGCAAGAGATATGAAATTAAATGTGGCCCTTTCAAAAAGTCCTTCTAATGAGGCAGTTTCCCAGCAAGATCTTGAGATGGTGGATGAAAAGCAGCAGTGTGGAGACCATCTGGCAGCGTTGCCTTGGCTTAGAGCTAAGGCAACCTGTAAGGATGTCACCAATTCAAGGAGAGATTTGAGGGCAGAAAACTTGGGCTTCTCGTGCAGAAGTGAAGCCGTGAGAGATCTCAATCGAATTTTCCCTGAGGATGTAGTTTCGGTCATAAGTGATCATGGTATTGAGGCCAAAAAGGAGACAAGTGACTCTTTGAGTAATAGAAAAATTCTTGGGTTTCCCATTTTTCAATATCCTTGTGCTTCTAAAAATGAGTCATTATCCCTAGTCTCCACCTCTGCCTCCCTTCGTTGCCCTTCTGAAGGTGGACCTGTGAATAATCAGGAGAAAAATAGACTCATTGACATTAACTTAGCTTGTGATCCTTCTCTTCCAGAGTCTGGCAAACAGTTTGCTGCAGGAGCAGTGGTTGTGGAGAAGGCAATGGATACAACAAATACCTGTTTTAGAAGTCACATTGATTTGAACTCCTGTATGAACGGGGATGAAATTTTTGTAGCACCATCTGTTGCAAGATCCAATGCAATTGAGAAAATCACAGTGGAGATAGATCTGGAAGCCCCTGCTGTTCCAGAAACTGAGGAAGATATTCTGCCTGTAGAAGAGCAGAAGCAGCATCAGGCACCTTTGCAATCATCAGAATATAAAGCTGGGCAACCACAGGAGGAGCTTGTCAGGATTGCAGCTGAAGCAATAGTTTCCATCTCATCATTGGGTCAGCACGATCATAAGGAGGATATCACTTGCTACCCATCTGAAGCTTCTTTGGCCGAATCCCTCCTTTGGTTTGTTGAGGTAGTTTCTTGTGCGGATGATCTTGAGCTTAAGTCTGGCAAAAAAATGACGGGCAGTGATGGTGGAGACGTTGAGGATTCTTCCTCTGATGAGATTGATTATTTTGAGGCCATGACTTTGCAACTGACAGAGACCAAAGAAGAAGACTACATGCCTAAGCCTTTCGTTCCTGAAATTCAAAAGGTGGAAGAAACAGGGGCCACTTCATTACGAAATCGACAACGAAAGGGCCAGACAAGGAGGGGGAGGCAGCGGAGGGACTTTCAGCGGGACATCCTTCCGGGCCTTGTTTCTTTGTCCAGGCATGAGGTAACAGAAGATATTCAGATATTTGGAGGACTGATGAGAGCTACAGGTCATTATTGGAATTCAGGATTGACCAGAAGAAATGGCACTAGAAATGGGGCTGCTAGGGGAAGGCGGCGATCACTGGTTGACACTGCCCCTTCTGTGGTGACAAGCCCAGTTTGCACTCCCCTAATGCAGCATCTTAATAATATTGGAGCAGGATTGGAGGATAGAAGCCTTACAGGGTGGGGGAAGACAACGAGACGTCCCCGCCGGCAAAGATGCCCTGCAGGTAATCCTCCTTCTGTCCCTTTAACCTAATTGCTGAAGAGGTTTTCATCTATAAAAACAGAATTTTTATAGAGGGAAGTGAGGAAACTAGGGAGTTGCTTTTATGGATTTTGGGAGTGAAGTTGTTAGCCATGGGGTTTGCCTTTGTACATGTCTTTGTAGCCCATAATTTGGGCTCCCCCCGTGATTATCTGTCTTATCTTTACCATCCTTGTATTAGTCGGAAATAATGTTTCATGATTTCTTCTGGATGTATACATCATTCCTTTGACTGTGTCACGACCACTACGTGTGTTCCTTCTTGGGTTTGATATATATTTGCTCATAATCTTAGGTGTGAAAATATATACTCGTCTATCGTGAGAAAAATTTACTTGATAGATACATATCAATTTTTTTTTTTCTCTTAAGAGCGGTATTTATCATCATTTTATTCTACGAAATGTTAATGATATTTGGTGGAGAGTGCTGAAATCTTTTACATAGTACGGGGATGAAAATTTTAAAATGAATAAAATACATGATGTTTTCGCAGTTTCTTATTACTAGTCCATCATCTTACATGCAAGTTACAGCAAACGCTCTCCTACACCATAATCACCCCACTCCCGGGTGATGATTCTGCGATTCTTTCGAAAATGTCTGTGTCTGGGCCAAACTATTAAGCTCCTTCCCTTAGTATTTGCCAATGATAACACTGACTGAACTGAAAAGCCTACAGCGATTGAGAAACATAGTTTTCTGGGAAAACTGGTTCCTCCCAAGGTTCAGCTAGAAAACTTGTAAACTTGAAAATCCGTTCTGGGAAGACCTGATCCTCACAAGGATCAGTTAGAAAACTTTGAATCTTATCATACTTTAAAATTTTGTTCTGGGAAAACTGGTTCCTCTCTTTGTTCATGAAAATCTGTTCTATTTGGTCATACTTTGGAATGGTCGCTTTCAGGAAGAACTATATAGTGCACTTTTTTTTGGTTTTGGAGAGAACGGAGGAGAGGAGGGGGAGTAAAATTTCTATACTTGTTCTTGTTGTCACTCCAGTAAGTATACAAATTGCCCTGAACCTGCTTTTTGCTTTCTGAAAAAGATATACATTAAATGAAATGAGCCTGCATTCCTCCTTTTAGATGTGCCCCAGAAGAATTGTTTGGTTATGGTTTGGATGTGTGGTTGGTGGATCCATGTCTGTTTATGCACAGGCACAATGTTGAACACACCCACTACTATAGTTGCTTTGTCTTTGATTGATTCTTCATTGTCTTTTCTTTTGTGAAAGTTTGGAACTTTGTTTTTAACTTCTTGTGTTATGAATTATTTGGATGTAATTGTTGGATATATGCAGAAAAAACTAAAGTTTGGGGTATTCTAATTACTCAGATGGGTCTGGCATGCCAACAATTATTATTTTTTTTTAAACAATTTCAACAAACTAAAAATAATCCCGTGTCTGAAGATACTCTATAATATAAAAAATTAGCATTGATCAAGCAATTTTTTTTTAAATAAGGGATTTTTTTTTTTAATTACACAATTTAAAATTAAAGTGAATAGAGAGAAAATAAATGAGAGATATGAAAGAGAAGAGAGACGTAGATCAAAGTAGATGAAAAATAAATTAATTTTAACCATTATTATGTAAAAATTTAACTTTATATTAGATAGATATTTGCCTGGTAAACAAACAAATCAACAGTAGCAGTCTAGAAATAAATGGTGGATGAGGTGAGTGAACGTCACGCGAAGAAGTGCGCGTGGGCCGACTACGAGAAAGAGTGTTTTAGAGAATTCTTGTTTGGTACGTCTAATGATGTCCTGGTACTGTAACTGGGACAATGTAGTGTGTTGGTTGGGTCTTAGATACGATACTCAACCAACCAATCACAGAGAAGCCGTCCTTTTTCATTGTGTGCTGTGTCCTTTCCTTCACCCCCATTAATTACATCTTTGCCCATTCTCTTTTCCTCTATTTTCTTTTATTATTATTATTATTGTTTTCAATGGAGGATAATCCTATGTGATTATGCTTGATGTCCCGGATATATTCAATGTAAACTTTAAACATTATCATCTGGAGATTCTAAATTTATGGGTGTTTTTATTGTTTTTGTAAGTGTTTTTATTCCTGTTGTAATAATTATTTTTATCATTTTTATTTAGTACTATGATAAAAGTAATCATAACAGTGATAAAAATACTCATAAATATCGATACGATACAAATTTTTTTTTGGATACTATACACAACTCCCAAATTTATTAGTGGAATCTATCTAACGTTTTTTTAACATCGATACAAGCTCTATTGCTACACACTTAATTCTAGAATCAAAACATTGTTGTGATGTATTATTTCAATTATCTCAGAAATAAATGTCGACATAGCACAAATCAACACGAAACATTGAAATTTCAAATTCAATCATTGATTTATTCGATCTTCTTAAAACATAAAAAAAATTCTCAGAGGTAATTTAGTAGTTGAGTTTGGTCTTTAATAATTCAAAGATCTCAAGTTCAATTTTTTCTCACACCCCTTAAAAGTTAACCACCTTAGTCCTTTTAGAGACATTCTTTAACCAATTCAAGTTACGGTAGTTAGCTGTTGAACTCGAAAAAATAATTGGTGTAAGTTCGATTATCCTATTATAAACAAAAATAAAAACATAAATATTTCGACAATTTTGATCATTTTTAAAAAAAATAAAAAACTGACAACGCTACCACACCCACTCATGTTGGCACAACCTCAGCTTGTCAAATTTGAGAGGATCTGGCTAGTGCGCCACTTACCCGTACCATAGTTTCTCTATAACGCCCACCCACGAGCTTCACTTCGCATGAACAAAATGGCGGGAATAACTCTCACTGTATCAACCACTACAAACAACAAAACCCAAACGAAGCAAAAATGACAAAGCTTATCTTTTCATTCCACACACACTTTCGTCTCTTCGTCATCCCCAAAACCCACCTCCGATTCAGGACTATAACCTCTAAACCAACCCATCAACACGACCTACAACTCCCCGAAATCGATCGAACCATAGACTCAATCCGCTCCATCTCATCAAATCCTTATTTTTCCCTTCTGGTTCTCTGCAAAAACATATATTCTCTTAAGAAAATCCACGCTTTGTTCATTGTCCACGGCCTAACCAATGACCTCCTTTGCCAGACCAAATTAGTTGGTTTGTATGGTTTATATGGGCACATCGGAAATGCACGTTTGGTGTTCGATCAAATACAAAACCCCGATTTTTTCACTTGTAAAGTGATGATCAGATGGTATTTTATGAATGATTTGTACTCGGAAGTTGTTGAGTTTTGTAACCGTATGAAGAAATGCCTAAGAGAGTATGATAATGTTGTTTCTTCTATTGTATTGAAGGCATGTAGTGAATTGCGTGATATTGATGAAGGGAAGAGCGTGCATTGCCAGATTATTAAGGTGGGAAGTCCAGACAGTATTGTGTTGACGGGGCTTATGGATATGTATGCCAAGTGTGGAGACGTTGAGTCTTCTCGTCAAGTTTTTGATGGAATTAGAGATAGAAATGTAATTTGTTGGACTTCAATGATTGTTGGGTTTGTACAGAATGATTGTGCTGAAGAAGGGTTGGTGTTGTTTAATCGGATGAGAGATGGGTTGGTTCAAGGTAATGAATACACTTTTGGAAGTGTAGTCACGGCGTGTACAAAGTTAGGAGCTTTACATCAGGGCAAGTGGGTTCATGGGTATGTCATTAAGAATGGAATAGATGTTAATTCCCACTTGGTTACAGCTCTCCTGGACATGTATGTCAAGTGTGGAGCCATTAGAGATGCTCGTTCCATATTTGACGAGCTTTGTAGCATTGATCTTGTCTCATGGACAGCTATGATTGTCGGGTACACTCAGAATGGCCACCCAGATGAGGCATTGAAGTTGTTTACAGATCAGGAATGGGCAGGTTTTTTTCCGAATTCGATCACCATAACAAGTGTTCTTTCAGCATGCGCACAGTTAGGGAATTTGAAATTTGGTAAGTCAGTTCAGTGTCTGGGGATTAAGCTTGGGCTAGAGGATGCTAGTATAACAAATGCTCTTATCGACATCTATTCGAAATGTCATATGATAGGAGATGCTCGTTACTTGTTTGATACAGTTTCAGAAATGGATGTGATTGCTTGGAACTCAATAATTTCTGGGTATTCTCTAAATGGGTCAGCATATGAGGCTCTGACATTGTTTCACCGGATGACAGAATATTTGTGGCCGGATTCAACCACACTGGTGAATGTGCTCTCAGCTTGCACTTCCCTTGATGCTCTACAATTTGGTTCTTCTCTTCATGCTTATGCTATTAAAGGTGGTCTGTCATCATGTAATGTCTATGTTGGCACTTCTCTTCTAAACTTCTATGCCAAATGTGGTGATGTTCAATCTGCTCGTAAAGTTTTTGATGGCATGGGAGAGAAGAACACAATCACGTGGAATGCAATGATCGGTGGTTATGGAATGCAAGGGGATTGTAGTGGTTCTCTTGAACTTTTTAATGAGATGATGAAGGAAGAATTGGAACCCAATGATGCAACTTTCATCGCTATTTTATCTGCTTGTAGCCATACGGGGATGGTTAGTGAAGGGTGGAAGAATTTTGATTCAATGTGTCGTGAATATAATTTCATTCCCTCAGTGAAGCATTATGTCTGTATAGTTGACTTGTTGGCTCGTGCTAGCAGGCTTGAGGAGGCCTTGGATTTTATGGAAGCAATGCCTATTCAGGCTGATGTTAGTGTGTATGGAGCTTTTCTCCATGGATGCAGTCTTCATTCGAGGTTTGACTTAGGAGAGGTGGCGATAAGAAGAATGATAGGGTTGCATCCAGATGATGCATCTTACTATGTGCGTATAGCACAATTGTATGCTTCAGATGGAAGATGGAACCAGGTTTATCAGGTTAGGGAGTTGATGAAGAGGAGTGGTTTGAGGAAGTTAGCTGCGTATAGCCAAGTGGAAATGGATATTGGTACTGATTTGTCGCCTCTAACAGTCGCGTTTCTTGCCTAGCTATATATGTTATGTTAATGTCTTGGGTATAATGTTCAAGTCTGAATAGATAATACTGTAAAACATGAACAGCAGTCACAGATCCCCAAATTATGATTGACGTGCTTCTCTCAGAAGGTTTTCATCCAACTTACCGTGTTAGTTCTGGTGGGAACTTGCATCAGACTGATGCAGGGAAGCTTCCTTTTGATATGTCTTGGATTACGCTAGCAAAAGTTGGTCTGGGATGCTTTGAGATGTCTTGGCAAACATGAATTCTGTGTTCGTGCCACCACAATCACATCATGGAGATTTTAAGGAATAAGGTTGATATTGAAAAGACGATCCTTGTCAGGCTGCAGATTGGATTGAAATTGTCAATATTGGCGTTCTTTGCTTCAATGTCATAGATTTGTACCTGTCTTCATATAATCTTTAAGTTCACATGCATCCTCAAGCTTGGGTATGATGAAGAATAATGCCCTGCCAGCATCATAAAGCCATCCACGTAAAGTATATCCTTATGGAGCAAGAGGACAGCTTTTGATGCAGGTGTACTCAGTCGCATGTCTTTATGAATGTGATGATCAACCTGACTGTAGAAGATGATCCTAACAGAATCGCTTGAACATAGCTTAGGCCGATGAAAGTATATGTTGTTTGTCTCGCGGTCATCGTAGGGATCTTCTCTATATAATTTTGTAACCACAAGTGTACGTTGAGAAATCTGTTCCAGTGATTTTGGTCTGGACATTGGATGATTTCAAAGAGTAAAGAAAGGTACATGTGACAAATATCCAAGCATATGTATGTTTTCTTGGTACACAAGTACCAGTTAGAGAGGTTCTGTTACAGAGTATAACTGCAGAACTTTATTCTTCATCTTCAAGAAATCTGCCTATCATTTCACAAGAGACTCAAGTATGAATAATATCAATCACACTTATCAATTTTTCTTTAACAAGGTCCACATTCTGGGAAAATTTATTAAGCAGGTGTTACGTGAACAAACTTCCCTGCAAAATAAATGATTGACAACATCACTCAGAATCAGATCATGTCCATAACTCCAAGAAGCAGGATTTGCAGCTGTGAATTTATTACATCCATGATCCAACCCTTATTGATCTGTAAATTAAAATCAGGCAAACTGGACTGTACAAAAGCCTTCAATTTTTCTGTCTTCAACTCCTCTTCTGGTGTAAACTAAACTGTACATTAACATTAATCTCTACAAGAATGATTCCCATTCATAACATTTCTAAATTGATTCAGACATATCCTGCTGTGATCTTGGACAGTTTAAAGATGGATAGCCATTCATACCAATCTGAATGCTTGTTTTGTATTCATGGGATTCGTATTGGTAGTTCCAGTCCAATCAGCTTCTCTCTGCGACTCAACTCTTGTCTGAACAAATTGCTATTATACCATAATATTCTACATTACGACCTGTTTCTGAGCCAAAATTCCAATTTTTTGTACTTTAACTGCAAATTTCCTTACGTGAATGAGATTTGTCATTTGCTCCAAATCTATGAACCCTTTTATTAATTTCAATCATACTATAGCCAAGGACCTTTCTTAGACTTGTACTTTTCATCTTCGATCTCACTACCTTAAATTCATCCCAGTCTCCGCCTTCTGCAAATATGTTGGATAATAGAGTATGATATCCGGTGTCTTCAATTTCCATGTTTACAAGGTTTTGTTGAATGCTTTTAATCATGTCCATCCTCCGGTGGATTCTGCACCCATTCAGCAAAGAACCCCAAATGCTAGCATCTACAGGCCATGGCATTGAATTGATGATTCTATATGCTCCACTTAGATCACCAGCTCGGCTCAAAAGATCAACTAGACAAGCAAAATGCTCTGATGTGGGCTCAATGCCAAAATCCTTCAACATTGAGTTAAAGTAAGATTTCCCTTCATCCACATATCCTGCATGACTGCAGGCTGATAGAATGTTCATGAAGGTAACATCGGTTGGGTGTATCCCTGATTCTACCATTTTATTGAAGAGTAAGATAGCAGCATCAATTCGACCATGCATTCCATAAGCACCTATCATGACACTCCATGACACCACACTCCTCTCTAACATGATATCAAAAACTCTCCATGCCATCCGAAGGTCTCCACTTTTAGCATACAGGTCAATTAGAGCTGTATCAATATAAATATCCCTCCCTACACCATGGGTGATGAGCTTATGGTGAACCCATTTTCCCTTCTCCAAATATCCTAAATTTGAGCAAGCTTGAATTACACTTAAGAAGGTCACTTCATCCATTTCAAGAAAATTCGAGAACATCTGATCAAAAAGGCTGACAGCTTCTACAAAGTTACAATTTTGAGAAAATCCACACATCATAGAATTCCATGTTACAACACTCCTCTGTTGGGCATCTTCAAATATCATGTATGCTAGATCCACGTACCCACATTTACTGTACATGTCAATAAGGGAAGTCTGAACAAACTCATTCAGAGAACCTGTTTTGATAACATAACCATGTATCTGACTTCCAAGTTGATAAAAACAGATATCTCCACAAGCTGAGAGAACACTTGCCAGAGTAAATGAGTCTGGAACTATTCCTTGTAATTGCATTTGTACAAGGAGCATCAAAGCTTCCTCCGACATACCTTCTTGTGTATAACCCGATATGAGCATATTCCATGATACCACTTGTTTATCTCGAGTTGTATCAAAAATCTTGAGGCAATCTCTTAGATTTCCACAATTTGCATACAAATCTATTAATGCTGGGCCCAAAAGATTATTCTCAGGGTCAACAGATTTTCTAATAACAAAACCATGAACCGACTTCCCTTCTTTAAGCCAACCTAACCTAGCACAAGAACATAGAACACCCATCATGGTAACTGCATTTGGCTCCGCTTTAGAATCTTGCATCTCAACAAAAATGTCTAATGCTTCTTGGTGGCACCTATTTTGATTATAGCATGTAATCATTGCTGTCCACGAAGAAGTACCCTGATAAACAACATTATCAAATAGCTCCTCTGCACTACACAAGTCACCACACTTACCATACATGGCAATGAGAGAACTATCCAAGGACTCATCATCACTTTCAATCTGTCTTCTCACTAAATAACCATGGACCGACTTTGCTAGTCTCTGAAAGCCCAATTCAGCACAGGCCTCAGCTACGCTTAGCATCGTTACTGAATCAATTTCAAGAACTTCCATAACCATTTCGCGAAATAATTCCAACCCTTGCCTCGCCTGTCCATTCTGAACATAACTCAATATGACTGAACTCCACGAAACAACGTCTCTAATCGACATTTCATCAAATAGTTTGCGAGCATCACGTAGGCATGCTTTCTCACCATACATATTCAGCAATGAAGTCTCAAGAACAGGATCAGACTCAAACCCACATTTGATGATCCTTGCATGGACCTTTTGCCCAATACCCAGATCACAAATTCCAGAACAAGCTCTTAAAATGGACGGGAATACAAAACTAGTTATTTGAGTTACTTTGATCAACATGTGATGGTACAGTGAAATGGCTTCTTCAAAGAAACCATTCCATACATAGCACTTGATCAGTACACCCCACATGAAAGAATCAGGTTTTGGGAAGGTATCAAAGACAAGTTTGGAAGATTCAAGGGGACCCATTTGGGCATATGACTCTATAAGTTTGGTTGAAGCAAGTGGGTCTTTGTGGAGACCAGTGATGATGAGGTGAGCATGGAGTTGGGTGAGTGCTCTTGAGGTTGAACAGGCTCTGAACAAGGGCATGTACAGTGTCATTCTGGTCTGTTTACGTACAATCGAATGCCACTGGTTACCGATCAGAATACAAGTGTTAGTTTGCCCATTAGTTTACTTACAACCTGATGTTACTAGTCAGAATATTATGATCGATTATGCAAAACCTCAACCAATTGTAAATTTATATTTAAAAAATTATAATTTAATATTTAAAAATTATAACTTTTGTAATTGATCATAACATTTTGAGATTGATCATGTTTTTTGTTATTATAGTTTGTAACTCAAAAATTTATAATTTAACTTTAAAAAATTATAATTTTCGATACAATATACAATGTGATACGATATAATTTCATACTATTAGTCTTCCGTTGCGCTTCCCCTAATAGATAGTTTTTGAGTACCATTAGTTCATTTTTTATTTTTTGTCTAAATTAGGGTTCGACTAGAATTTTTATATTTATTTTTTAGTTTAATGGTTAAGAGTCTCCAGATCAGCTTACGTACAACTCGATTAATTTTCTCTTTAGTCCGATCAAAAGCAGGTCATTCATGTTGAGATTAGGGTATTTATGAGAGATAAATCTCTCATAGTTTATCTCAAAGAATTTTCAAATTTCAAAACTCAAGATGTTTGAGTTTATAACTCGTTCCTATTGTTACTACTTGAACTATCTTTGAAATTATGTTCTTTTATATGTAAATTTATTCCTCGCCCCCAAATTTAACCATAGGTTTGTACTTAATGACATAAAAATATTCTTGAATTAGTTGCACCCTGCTTTTCTTAGTATTGGAACAGTTAAACAAGTGTAACTAGATTCCAACACTCTTGCCAGGTTGAGAAATCACATTTCTCAACGAAAGATCAAGCACATAATTTCTAGTAAAAGAAAGATAAACCAATGCACGAGACTCGTAAAAAACGTCCCGACTGTATTATTGATAACTTGGCCAAGGAATATCATATTACAACAAGGAAACGAAATATTTCCATAAAAACACATGGCCCATCGCACAATGCTCACGATAAACCCACCCTCTAAAAAAATTGTCTGTGTGTATGATTGAAGACAGATTATTACTCACAATTACAAATAAAATTACAATAGATGGGATGATACTCATTCTGCATTAACAAGAAGCAGTTTCAACCTTGATCCCTCTACGTAGACGATAAAGCGAGATGGAATGAAGATATTACAATCCTGAGTACTCTGCTCCCTCGTTGCCCTATTGTTGAATGTCATGTTTGTGGTTGTTGTATACATATTTTGTTCTGTGATCCACCATAAGGTCCTTTCCTCCATTCACTTCAAAATCGTGCCTGCTTATGAAAGCGAATAAATAAACAGGAAAAATATACAAAAAAATAAATAAAAATGAAATGCCACTGTTATCTAAGCCGGGATTAATGTGTCAGTCAGTAAACATGACATGAAACCAGTATCGGAGAGAGTATACCGCATATCCAACATTCTGATAATCAATACAAGCACGTCTAATAATTGAGGCTACTGCAAAACCTCATAGCCAATCAGTGCCTAAAGAGTGTTTAGTATATTACAACCATAATACAAATGAGACTTCATTTACGCTGGTTAATCTAAAGCAGTACGCACAATTCTTGATCATATGGAATTGTAGGAGTGAAGATTAGTTTCGTATCATTCAATGAGTATCTTGTATTTCATAAAATTTTGGGGTCTAGTGTGGAATGATTTAAAAAGGAGGAACAGGAAACTCAACTGAAACACAAAATCAGGGGTGGTTAGCTGCTCACGTGGAACATATCTGAATAATCGTCGAAGCCGATCAACATATACCACTTTTTCCCACACCTGAGGATCAGTTCTGAATAATTTGATCAGCATTTAGACTAAAAGGAAGAAGGTTTAGGTTCTCAAGGAAGGGTCACACATACCACATTATCGACAAACAGTTGCAGAGCGAAAATTGCAGCCTTCAGTCCAATAGTTGGGTGAAGGACATATATTGCCTGCACAGCAAATGGATAAATTGAATTTAACAAAGTAAGCACGTACTGTGAAGTTTTTTTTTTTTTTTTTGATCAAAAACTGTAGAGTTAAGTTGATTTTCCAGTATTGCATACATGAAGATTACGCTGGTGTTTCCGACCAAGTATTTGCTGTAATCTCCTCATCCATCCCAGATCTGGTTGCCTGCTCCATTAACAGAATTCGAAAAGTAGGCAAAATAAAAACATATTAAGAATAGGGATTTCACGTACAATCTGCATGCCATCAGAAAACTGTGTGTGTGTGTTCTCTTTTTGGCATGTTTTTATGCCTGAACTCAGTAAGTGATTTAATTTCTGCCCAAGCTTTGGTGAGACTACTATCTTAATATCAAAAAAGAGTATAGTGGTACTATGGTAGCACTAGTTCTGCTACATGGAAAACTAAAAAAATAAAAAGAACCAGGCTGACAGGTCCTGGAAGTTATTCCCCAATAATAACAATGATAATAATAGCTTCCCGAGCCAGAGCAGATTGCAAGGTCTTGTGCATGAAAATGTCATATCGAGGTGTCAAAGCCAAAACTTATTCAAGAAGTTCATGGACTGTAGGACAACTTTATTTAGTGCCAGTCAGCCAGAAAACCAGTCCATCAATCCTTTGCTTCTCTTTTCAATAAGATCAGCCACAAACTTCAGGCAATTAAGTTGTTTCTACTTCTTGCACACGTGATGCGAACTAAGACACAAATTACCTAATCATCAACATACCAAAGAAGCTATAAACTCAATATAAGCGATCCACGAGATGATGCGGAGGGGAACCAAAAGAATAAAGGGTGGAGTACTCACAGCTGTAAAGAAGCTGCAGAGTGGAAGTAAACAATAGTAAAAGGCTTTTGTATCAAGGGTTCAAACTCCTGAAATTCAAGACAATTGTCAGTCAGTGGTACATGAAGAATAGAACTATGGGAACCTCATACATGAAAATCAAGTATATCCATAAACATCAAAACTCACTGAACAACATACTCAGCAGTAAGCTGAAGCAAGCTGTAATTACCTTTATTACATAGAGCACAAATCGATCCAGATTGAGACATCTTAGCAGTAAATGTGCTCCCACAATGATCATTACTGGACGGCCCTCACTGTCAACCCCACCGCGGTAACTGAGATTGAAATTAGGAGCTAAATAAGATTTTGGGTGTGGAAAAGCAAATTGACCAAAGCAAACAAATACCCGAAAAAAAGGAAGCAATCTTATAAAACAGGCAACTATTCCCAGAGGTAAATTGTGATCAGGTGCTCGGGTTACAAATATTAACTTGTGAAATTTGCAGGTAAAGATGGAGAACTTCTACAAGAATACCTTGGTCTTCATCTGTTCATTGTTATAATGGCTCCAAATAAGGCAACATATCTGAGGCAGGACTAGCATGTACTTACTATCAAAGCCCAGATCTCAATTATTCAATGTTAACATATATCTCCTTCCTTTGCAAAATCTTATCTAAGAAAGGACAGAGCCAGTGAAAGAAAGTTACAATAGGAGCTTTTAATAGATAAATCCAACTTAATTCAGTTGTTTGTGCTTTAGTAATGGTTAATGGAGATGACCATTAGAAAGTATAAATCAAAATATGCAAAGGTATGATGTTACTGAGCTCTCTCATTAAAAACGGTATATTCACAGCGCAAAATCAAAAGCCTGCAGTAGCTCACAGAATCTTCATTTCTGCAATCTCAGAAAGATCAAGAGAATTCGCCTTAGCAAGATATCTAGAATGGAGCGAGTATTCCTCAGCAGCAGATAATTGAGGTCCTCCAAGGTCACCCAATCCAAGCATTTTAGCAGCAGCACAGTTCCAGCTACTTTGTGCTTGAGCAGTTTTTTCCCACTGTTCCTTGTTTCGGTCATCTGGATCCTTAATCGGTGACATGAAAACAGGATCCAAATATGAATCCAAATAGGATGAGCTTCTGTTTAGAGAACAATCTTTCAGTAATATCTAATAGAGTTACAAAACAACAAATAAACAAAGGCAAAATGTCTGCACTAACGCTATAAACAATTGGCATAGGAGTGAATATATGAAATTCTTAACATAACAACACAAAATGATGAGCTGTGTAACAATGCATTTATCAGTTAGTATTTGCAGCAGCAATGTTCTTGCCTCACCATGCAAGAGTAGATTTATTTTAAGCTCCAAAGTGTTGATGCACAAATGCTACAAATACATCACATAGAGTTTCTGCTCTATTCTTAAGCAAGATAAGGATTATTGGCCTCACAAGTACATAATTGCTCAGGGATTTATTGCACCAGAGTTCCAGTGTGTCAGCAGCTACAATGCAATGCACAGGCAGAAACTCTGGCTTTTGGGTTAATGAATGATAATTTACCTCCCACGGTGGGTTGTGGTCAGATGGCAAAGCCTCATGGGTGAAAGATTACTAACCGTCTTGTTAAACCAACATCACTGACAGGTTGATCAAAAGAGGCTTGGGGCGATCTAGGACCATTCTTCTTCACATTTGGCAAAGCTTTTATTCTGATTTTACGTTCATCAATAACTGTTTCACCATTTTCATCCCCAACATCTGCAGGAAGGTTTGAAATGGCCACCTCCTCCTCATGTTTATCCCGAGGAAAATAAAGAGGAAGCAATCTACAATGTCAATTTGTAAAATAATAAGAGGATATGATATGCACAGAATCCAATCACAAAACAGGATTAGATCACTCTATGGCTATATGCCAAGGTGTTGTATCAGCTTATATGAAAGAACCTCTAAATTATATAACAGGACCACAGGCATACCTTTTATAAATCTCTATATCTGATGGTGTATTTGTGCAAAAAACAACAGCAAAAATTTTATCTTTTTGTTTGTCAAGAAACCGCCGCACTGTTCCTGATCAAAAACAAACAAAAGATGAATTTCAAAAAATGAAATAGGAAATAATTACCTCCCAAACATAACCACAAACATGAATTAGACGTACAAAAACATTTACTGGTATATAGATAAAAATGTGTGTGCATAGATTATCTGATTCTACAACATCCGTACATATAGTTAACATAATGTGGTTGTCATTCAAAGCACCATATCATCACTTGAAAAGTGAACAAAATCAAATGACAGATTTGCAAAGACACATATGGAAGATCTCACTAATTGCAACATGAGCAGCTCGTTCACGTGGATAATTTTTGGCCTCTGTGTATATACAGCCCATAGCAATGCTGCATTGACACGTGTTGCAAGATATTAAGTTCCAGTTTTGAACAAATGAAACCCAATAAGATGAAGAGAGCTATAACAAACAAATGGATGCAGCAGCTGGATACCAAACCACCTTTGAAGCCCACTTTCAATGAGAATTTCAAGGCAAGAGCTATAGCAGTGGCTCAGAGCATTCTCTGCAGCAGTATGATATTTTGCTGCATACTTGGGACCAACAGTATGTATAACTCTCCTACACAAAGTTTAACAAATGCCATTTAATAGTAAGTGAAGAGTTAACAACTCAAATTAAGCAATAGAAGTATGTTGCACATAGGCATAGAACTTTGAAGAAAAATATATCACATCACCAACAAAAGCGATTTGAGAAGTAAAAGATCAAGGAGAACATGTCTTATGCCCAACTTAAATGACTCACATTTCCCTAATTATTGTATTACTACATATAGGGACATGGAAGCTATGCCACGTAAGTTTTTTTTTTATTTTTTTGATAGGAAACAAAACATATTGCATTTAAATAAAAGCAAAATTACATGAAAGGTAGTTGGATATCCAACCACAAAAGAGCAAAACTATAATGACAGGCAAAAACATAAAAAGTCTATAGACCACATGAATCTCTCCATCCCGATAAAATAGCAAAGAGTGGGATTCCTTTGCAATCCCTAGGAACCAAAGCCCAAAATGTTGAAAGAAAATGAATCCGATCCCATAATTCATTCAAACACTCACATCGATCTTCAAAGTTTCTTGCATTCCTCTCTTTCCATATAACCCAAAAAGTTGGCATGATTGCACAATTCAAAAGAGTGACACCCTTATAGACCCAAGTCTTTTCAAGTCTTCCACTAACAAAGAATTGGATGATGGGAAGGAATGCATTTCAAACCTTGTCTTGGAAAGGCTTTGTCTTCTTAAGGTCAAGGGTTCAAGTCCTTTTCCCCTTCCCCTTCCCCTTCCCTTCCCCTTCCCTTCCCCTTCTCCCTCAAAAAAATTAAAAAAAAAAAAAGAAGCAACTTGTACTACAAAGACAAAGCAAGAGGGCAATGTTGAAATAAATGGTCAATGCTTTCATAATCACCTTTGCACATCACACATCACTAAGGAGAAAGAAAAGTATTAGACCTCCTTTTCTAAAGTAAATCATTAGTATTAATTTTCCTATGCGTGCAACAGCCCATGCAAAAGCTTGCACCTTAATAGAGACATAACACCAATGATTTTATAGGGACATGGTGTGCAACAGGGTGAAAATTTTAAGTTGTCAATTTTTTATTTTTTATTTTGTTTGGGAGTAAACGATTGCCAATGCACGATATATAATGGTATATGAATCCCACACCTCATTTAGAAAGACATGAAGCAAAATGGAGCATGCTGAATTCAGAAAAAAAAAAACTATAAAAATTGTGATCCCGGACTTAAAGTAATGATAGCAATGTCAGGTTCTCTAAATTCCTAGTAACATATACACATACAAAAGGATCATGAGTGAGCATTTATTTCTTGATACTCGTGTGCATTGTCAAATGCTTCCATGAAAACAGAGAGATGCTTTGAAGGTTTAGAAAATCATGCTTCAATGAAAATATAGTATCCTAGGCACAAGAGTAGGGGTATAGAAATAATTTTCAACTGCATTTATTCATTCCGAGCCTATACATAAGTATGAAATGAAATACAATGCTGACAATTATATAAAACAACCAGCATACCCACCTTGCAGGAAGGTCATATGCATTAGTAATTTTTGCCATACCAGTTCGACATCCACCCTGAGAAGAAACTAATTAATAATAATCTAACATTTCAATAGTGAATTATGTCCATTAAAGTGACTCCATCCATTTCTATTACAACATATTGGGTTAAGTTTGTTCTTTTCCACAATATTACGTTACGGCACATCTTAATGCAGATTTCAGATACAGTAATTGAATTACCAGAGTGGCACATTCTTCTGCAAGACCTGGTCCAGCTGCAGAGTGCAAACAAGGACTGCTGTGCCCTTCATCCAAGTTCTGTCAAACACCCAATAGGAAATAATAATCAGAAGAAAGCAGGTCATCTTCTCAGTGATCCAAGATGGAAAAGATTATAACAGTTGTGATGGATAACAGATGCTTAATCAGCTGTTTGGATGGAATGAAAAGGAATTGACCCTAGAATGCGTGGTCCCAGGTGCACTTAAGTGAACATCTGTGATTCAGACTGGAACCTGCAGACATATGGATTTTATTCTGATGAAATTATGCGAATTGCATAGGAATGGGGCACTTAATATTAGACGAAACTTCCAGCCACAATGCTTGATTGGGTAGGAATGCACCACAGAGAAACATAATCTGTCCCTTCTGGGGTGAACTATCATCATAAGCATTCCTTAAGCGACAAATAGCTTAAGTAAACATCATTCAAAAAGAATTCGCAGCTCACCTCGTTTGTAGAGTTAACAACTGCATCCACCTCGAGATTCCAAGGATGCCCCCTCCATAGATATATCTTCATGTTGATTTCATGATCAACAAGAAACCTTGACACCATCCCATTTCCACTACTCTCCACCACAGAAGAAGACGTTAAATTCTGGGGCAAGTATGAATTTGGAAAGGCGGAGTCTTCATTCTCATTCGAGTAGCTATAATCCACATCACTCCACCGAAGAACTTGATCTAGTGTTACCACAGGATCTCCACTATCTGTTGATGGCCCTCCACGAGCAGAGGTCACATCCCCAGATGGATACATTCTTGCAATGCCACCAAACAAAAACCACTCAATCAATTCAAGCTCAGCTCAAGTTTCAGAAGTTTAGTCAAAAATTACAAATTCAGAGCGCATTTAAGGTCGTCTTCCTTAAACCGCATTAAGTAACAAAACACATATCAACTTGTAAAGATATACATGTAAACCCTAGCTCGAAGATTTCATAACGGTTCGGGAAAAACCATAGGTAGACCCCTTCAATTTTCAATATACACACACACACACACACACATAGGTAGACCCCTTCATTTTTCAATATACACACACACACACATCGAGAGGGAATTTACCGGCGAATCCACGTGAAATTCGGTGAACAATCGGAAATGATTTCGGGTAAGAGAGATGAAGACGACGACGATATTTTATTTGCTTTTTTTCTTTTTTCTTTTATTTATTGTTAATAACACTTTGAATCCTGAAATCTCTTTAAATTCTAATTTACACCCTGAAAGATTAAAATTAAACTTCCGTTGCTTTATCCCGTAATTGTAGTGCTATATTTTTATACTAGGAATAACTCTTTGCCTGAAAATACTAAAAAAAAATTTAAATATTGAAGGTGTAATATTTATATTTTAAAAAAATTATACAATTTAAAATTAAAATAAACAGAGGAAAAATAAGAGAAATAAAAGAGAAAGGTAGATGTAGATTGATGTGGTTGTCTGAGTTTATAATTTTTAGTGGAAAAAAATTTGGAATAAATTTTACACTATTTGATCAAAGTAGATAAAATTGGATTAATCTTGGTTATTCGTATGCTTTTATAAATGAAGAATTCAACTTCTTACCTATAATATTATATATATTTTTATTTCTATTCATATTTGTTTGTATATATCTTATATTACTCTAGTGAATTTTTTGCAGACTAGAAAACATCGTTTTTGGAATGATTGAAGCTAGATTTATAGATGATTTCTTCCCAACTTATTTACATTTTTTTTTTAGGGTATCCGGACTAGTTGACGCGTATTTCGGCTATTCCGTTATCCAGTCCGGTTAAAGTTAGAATATCTATGCCAGAACTAAAATATTCATATGAGATAAATTTTTCATAACCTAAATCCAAGAGATTATCAAATTTTAAACTCAGAATGTCTGAATTTATAACTCATATTTGTAACCATTTGACTGGGGATAAATAGTCAAAAGCTGGGATTCTTTGTTTCCCTTAATTATATAACTCAGATGAGCAACACTTGAGCAACAAAGGGAATTCAATATGCAGATTCATCTGCCCAGCAAAGAGAGGTAAAGCTAATTCTCTCCACCTCTGCCTATATTCTGTCGACAGAAAGGAAATGCAGGTTGTTCAAGAAATCGATCAAAGATGTGGGAAGTGTATATAAGGCGATTGTTGATAATATCTAATTTGAAGGCGATCAAAATAGGGGTTATGAGCGATCTCTTCCAAACCTATGGTTGCAAAGACAATGGGTATTGTCAGAGACCATTTTTGAACCTCCTTGGGCATGTGTTATGCCAGACACAAGGTACCGTGGTTGCTGTAATTGTAATGATCTAATCTAGTGTTGCTGGTTGCTATTAGTCCTCTGTTATTGCTGTTAATATCCTGCTAATGCTGATGGTGTTGCTGTGATAATGGAATATGCTTGTTCAAACAACTGTTCAAGCTATGAAGACCAAATATGCTACTACTCTGTATACATTTATTAATATTGATCCTTTCGGACTTTGTAATCATATAGTTTACTGTTTTGCTATTGGGATGAGGGATCTCCTATTCTCCTGTTCAGAAGATCAATCATTCCTTTGAAAAATGTTTTGCACATGAATCCCTTTTCGGTTAAATAGAATTCATCTTACTTGCTGGAAAAAAAAAAAGAGATAGAGGACAAAACTGAAAAAGAAAGGCACTAGCTCTACACTGCATGCAGCAAAAAGCCATTCTCTGGGTAATAGTAAAATGACTTCATCAATCTTCAAGCACCTAAACATTTAAACAATTGCCTCTTCACATATTAAAAACTCCAATAACTCGTCACTATGAAGGTATAAACTAATATAGCAAGAATTAAACAAGAAGTAAACCGGCTATGTTGTACATAAACATCTTATTTTTTACCATACGCAACAAAAGGTAAACGCACATAGTTTACTCTCCAAATGATGCAGCCATTACTGCATGCTTCATGGCTTGATCTGCCATGTTGAGGAATTGTTAATTGGCTTTTTTATAATTTCAGTACCTGCTCTGCCTCCATATGTAACTTAGCTAAGAAGTTGCTTCACCTTGGCTACTATTCTGAAAATAAGCATCAGCATAAGCTGAAACTGCTGCACTCATTTTACTCCAGCCTTCTGCTTCAACATTGCAATGAATTTCTCTCTCTCATCCAGAGACATCCCTTCTGCTGAACAATCTCCAATACCCCATTCCGCTCCACGTATGCAATACTTGTCTAGAATTTCTTGCCGGTTCCTGAAAATTATCATAAAATTGTAAGTTTATAATCCAATGATTGCATTACTTATGACTTATGAGTTTGACAATTGCCCTTGATTAGTTTTCATCTGTAGAAATCGCTGCATCTAACCTTATTATCAATACTATATAATAGCTCCTTTCCAAATTCCACTGTATGTGACCAAACAATCTTTCATTTGACAACACAATGAGTTCTTTATGAACAGTTGCGGTGTATCAACACATAGCAGTTAATTAGCAAGCTACAATGACAATCATTAATCAGAAAATCTTAAATTCCAACCTGCTACTGCAATGGACATGTAAATTAAATGATTGACTGTTTGATGTAGATATGCAAGAGCATAAGAGTTGACTACCAGATATAATTGAATTCCAACGAGGAAGCAGAGGATTTATGTGAGTTTATGCACAAACTCAAGCCAGTAGTGAGACTGTGAGAGAGAGGAGTTTCAGTGCATTAGAATTATGAAGAGATTAAATATCACTCAATCATGATTCATGGCTGTTAATGAGCTGAATTATATTTTTACCCTTTAAATATGTTTTTTTCGGTTATATTTAGCAAGTTGGATCAAAACTATTACTCCAAAGGAAGAGTTGCAAACACCCAAATTACCCACAGATTAATTAAGGTGATGAACTTAACTGCTTTAGGTGGACTTGGCATTAGCTAACTTCCCCATATGTTTACATGATCAAGGGAAAAGGTGAAAAGCTCAATCCATATGCAGCCCCATTAACTATTCATATTAGTACAACAGACCTATGTTTAGGTAAGGGAAACTTACTTCTCTTTATTCAACTTGGATTGCTCGAGCAATCGCTTAAGCAGGGGAGACTCCTTAAATCTGGAATCAAGTTCTGCATATTTTTTCTGGTTTTCTTCTGCAAAAGTCATGTTTTGCTTATATCATTTTCCATTAAAAATATTCATGCCCAACACTTGCAAAATAGTTGAAGTCCATACCATTAAAACGTGAGAGGAAGTCAATTTGAGGTAGCTGAGGACCAGGTACCGATTCAATTCCAGGGGAACCCGAGAGAAATCCAGCTTTAGCTACAAATATCAGAAGATTAAATGTTCACTTCTACGCATGGATTTTAGCTTGTTCTCACTCGGGCATAAAACTTCAACATTCTTACAGTCTTCTTGGTGACCAAATGCAAGATGAAGAAATATCAGCATTATTGTTCAACTAAATAGTCACCAAAAGCATGTATTTAGACACTTAATACACCTAGAAATGCCTTACAGGGAAAAGGGTTGCTGGCAACTTGTGATTTAAACGTCATTTATATCCTAATTGAACCTCTTAACATTGAATTGTAGGAGCCCAAAGACATATTTTTTGTGTATCCAAATTACCATACCATAGATAGGTAACATTATTGCTAGTCGCTACAGGTACTTCGACTGCCTCCACAGGATACTTGGTGATGCCATGAATGTGAAACTCCACTTTTATTTGAAGACAACCTGTTTTTGCCCTCCATTATCTATATAGGAGAATAAAAGCACAGAAAAACCCCCATTTCTTTTCTTTCCCAACCTTTTCTCAGAAACCAAACAGGTGGTCTTCTAAAAGGGATTCTTTTATGTATCAAAATAAATTCTCTCTTTCCCCTCCCCAATGTGTCTGTGAGTGACTTTCTTCCAATTTACCTGTTTGTGTGAATATGAAAAAGCTGTACTTATTCATAGATGAGAAATATGGCTAGAACATGTTTGATGTATGCTGATAATTAGGAGATGAAGCAATCAAAAGCACATTCCAAGAGAATGTAACAGAAAGTTAAAGAAAAGAAAGAAATTACCAGGACCGGAGCAGAGAAGAACAGCAATAGAAGCAGCCAAGGGAACAACACACTTGTGAAGAAGAACTTGTTTCGATGGTGGTGAATAAGAATACAAATGAACAGTTTTAGCTGAACCAACACCTTGTGGTTTTCTTCTGAACCCAATTACTTGTAAGTCGTTTTGAGGCTGAGGATGACTATGTCTCAATTTGTCGCACACTGTAACATTGGTCATGAAGCAAGAGTAAGAGAAAGGGCTAAACGAGCAAGAGACCATGGTTGTGGGTCTCTCTCTCTCTCTCTCTCTCTGCACAGGGATGAGTGACTTACCCACAAAAAAAGCAGAGATATGAGTTACGATGATGGAGAGAGATGATAGGGAAGGAGAACAAATGGCTAATATGGACTAACAGTTTTTATAGTCGTGGCAAGCATTCACTGGTTGACTGTGTTACTACTAAATATCGCATAAATGCCCCCTTGAATTAGGATTTTGTTTTAAATTGTTCCTAAAATTTTAATTGTTCTAATTTTCCCTTTGAATTGTGTAATTTAATTTAATCAATTTTTTTTTGGTTCAACAGTTAGGGTGTCTGAGCCAACTTACACAAACTTCGACTAATTTCTTTCTTGTTCCGATCATCCATGTCAAAACTAAGTTATTTATGAAATAATTTTTTTATGATCTGATTCAAAAGAATTGTCAATATTCGAATTCATAACATTTGTGTTTATAGCTTATTTTGTTATCACTTAAATTACCCTTTCAGGTTTTTTCATTAACTCCTTCTGTTAATCGTTAAATGAGACATATTGTGTTAAAATTAATTAATAACTTATAACACAATTCAAGGGACAAATTAAAATAATTGAAGGTTCAAAAGAGAACTTAAAACAAATGTTATAGTCTCATAGGTATTTATGAGACTCACGCTGCAACGAAGTACTACTAATTTCTTCTTCTTCTTGTTATTATTATTATTTTTGTTTTTGTATTACTAAATTAGACTTATTTATTATATTTATTTGATTGAAATTTCATTTTACAGAACATTTTCCCAATTACAAGTTGTAATCAAATTCATGGGTCATGTAGGGGTGTCAATGAGACCCGCAAGATCTCATTAAAGTGATCCAATGAATTTACAATAGATTGAACTTTACCATACAACGAAAATTAAAATTGAGAGCACTGAAATTAACTTTAGCTCACACTAGCCAACCTCAAACAAGCTTTTAATTAGACCTCACAATTCTGAACATGATCTGTAAACTTAAAACAAAATGGGCATATATCGGGTGTTAGGTGAATGAACCCTTAAATAAATGAATCAACAAGAACCCGATTAAACAAAACACAAATCTAAACTAATACACTATGAAATTCACTATATATACGATTATAAATAGATTAAATATAGATTTAAAATTTTCAACACATGACTTTATCACGACATAAATCATTTTCGTTCTTATTTTTAACCTAGTCAAACCCAGGACAAATTCAAACAACTTGATTTATATAGCCAGTAATTTCTTATTTTCCCCCCTTTTGGTGCAACGACTCAATTCTGTTCCCAAGCTTTTACGCCACCACCGGAAGCCAATTCAAAATATGAGGTGGTTTCAGATTTCGCAAAAGATTTTGTAGCAACAAAGTTACTAAGGATTTCTCTCCCGTATTTGCTAAGATGCTCCGGTCTTTGGTTGACAATATTATGCGGGAAAGACTCCAATTTTCTCAAAGGATACAGATGTAACTGGTACTATGTTTCTGTCTTTGACCCAAACTATAAAGAATAGCATTGGCAAGACATGTAGCTGCAAAGGAAGAAATGTGGGAGAAACCATTGTCCATCGGATGATAATCAGATATAGCAACAGATCATATAGATAGGGAAAAGGATCAATCTTCAGTAAACCTATCATGGCAACTGAAAAAACAAACCAAAGTGATGCTACCATGCATACATGGCAGATAACTAACAACTTTTTTACCTGTGTCAAGGTGGGTAACCAATTAAAGGTTCTACATAGGCTGCTATGAGATAAATTCTGCGTATAAAGAAACACAAATTTTAAGTCTCGACCATGCACGATTGGAATAAAAGAGAATACTACTCCTTTCATTGGTCAAATAGACTTGTCGAAAATCAGACAAATTGCACATTGAAAAGAAAAAGAAGACCAGTAGGATTCCATGACCAGAGTTTTTCCTCTATAAATTCAGTAGCCCTTCCATCAAGTTCATCCTTCAAGCATGGCCTGTGCAGCATCGACTAATATTGGTCTAAGATCAGCAGAAGCTCGACCAAGCACAGTGTACCCTTCGTTGTCTTCTGCATCCACATTTGCTCCATGTCTTATGAGGAGGAGAGCAACCTGCCAACAAAAGTAAAAAATAAACGAGTTGAAGTGCATTGCCTTCTTACAACTCTTTTAAGTCATTGTTGCAGACAAAAATAACTTTCACAGTTGCTATATTAAAGAGCAAAGTGCACAAAGCAAAATCACTAAGTAAATTGAGTCATGCCTCCTCCGAGTCATGGGTTGGGGTCTTGAGTCATATAAAGAAACAATAACTTCTTAGACACATTGACCTCAACCTCCAAAATTTTGAGAGCTCTTGCTGGCACACATGTCCTAAATGGCTCTGAGGTATTGCAATGCTGCGCTGCTGTAGAAGTACATTAACTAATTACACACGTGCAGTGTATCTCGATTCCCAAACTTAATGAATTACAATAGTACAGAATACAGCTGCATGGAAATTCCTCAGACTGGTTAAGGTATTTATATAGTCTTTTAGGTATTTGTATACTCAAGTTACAAGGCTGAACCATCTTCAAGAGAGAAGAAATTTCCAATGCCTGAAAAAAGGCTTACCGTGTTTACCCTTAATGGAGCTCGGGTAGAAAGTGCTTACAAATACAAGACTGGAAAAAAAAAAAAAACCTACAAAAAGGTGTTAATAACATGTTCAAGAATATAGCGCATATCCAACACTAGTCAATAATAAGAAATTTTCAAGCAAAAAATATGGAACTTCCATATCCGTCCAGAATCCTTCGTCTAAATGCACCCTCAAAATGGAAGCAAGGTAAGTACTAAACAAAGGTAATGAAGGTACAGGTAGTACAATACAACTTAACTCAACTCCAGAAAACATAACAGTTGAAAAAAAAAACTCAAGGAATCATAGACCAACTACAGAAGTATAAAAAATACATGCAAAAGACAAAGTAGGATGAGTTTAGTAAACCTTGATGGAAGCATAAATACACATAAACATATCCTGCACAAGGCTTAAAGGCATCGACCTTTGAAAATCCGGCAACATTTACCTCTTTATTATCGCATATCACTGCACTCATAAGAGGAGTTTGACCTGCTTTATCAACATCATCAACCTCTGCTCCTTCCTCAATTAAGAGTTCACACACCTCTGAGTACCCTGTGCTTGCTGCACGATGCAATGGGGTGCATCCAACCTGAATGAAGTGAACATCAAACAATCAACAAATGGAAGAGAAGATTCATGACTGTTAGCAGTGTGTTATTGCAGAGAGCATGCTTATAATACACAAAAAAAACCAAAATATACATATATAATAAGCTCTGTATAAGTAGAAAAGCTCAGGCGTAAGGTTACAAACCTTGTCCTTCAAATTGACTTTTGCACCATGTGAAAGCAAAATTTCAGCTATTTTCAGCCAACCCTTGCTAGCAGCATAGTGAAGAGCAGTGCGACCACCATCATTCTTCAAATTAACATCAGCTCCTGTTCATAAGATATCAATTTGAGTCTATGTGTAAAATTTATTCTAGATGATAGGTGAAGTAATTTGTCAACACAACCAATAGGTGAAGTCCGAAAAATGCTACGACAAATAACTGCACCATCAATTAACTGCATGGACACCATCACATACATCATTCTAATCCTAAAATCCAAATTCGCAAGACTAATTACCAAGATTGTGTCGATCACAAATCGCTAAGCCACAAATTGCCTTGACAAATTTCATCAAAGGATACAAAATAAACCAGATTGATACCAGACAAATACTCAAATGGAGGTCAACTTGACAACTATGAATGGATCAATAGATGTATAAAGCTCCATTTTATGCTACAAGGAAATTTTTTGGTATACATAGCCACAGTCGAGCAAACATGGGTAATGCTTTCATGTTATCGAATAGAAAACTTTAACGTATTTTCCTCAAATCGAACATGAATTAAAGAATTACTCACCTCTTCCAACCAAAATCTCCACAATTTCCAGATTCCCACTGCTAGACGCAGAGTGTAGCGGTGACCAGCCTTCCTCATCAGTACTGTTTACACCGCTAACCAATGGATCAGCAGCTGATAGTATCTCCACCACCTAAGTTATTCATGAACTCAAACCACTAAATACAAAAATTCCTACAATCACAAAAAGCGCAGTGATAAATCAAACTAAAGCATCACATTTTTCAAAATAATGATGAAAATGAACATATATGTCCCCTGAATTGAATCAAACGTCATACAGATGCCCCACATACCAACCAAGAAAAGCCTAACGCTCCATTATCAAACCACCTGACCTCCTATTCTGATAAATCTATGTAACAAATTTCAGCTTCGTGAAATTTCTCGGAAAGCGAAACAAAGGAGAAAAGGAACTTCGGAAAAAATGACGGACCTGGGCTTGGCCAAAGGAGACGGCGACGTGAAGGAGGGATCGGTCGTCTTCGTTTCGTAGAGAGAGGACTTTGAGGAGATGATCTTGAGAGAGAGATTTGAAGAGCGAAGCCTCGCCTGATTCGGCGGCTCTGAACAAGTCTTCGTCTTTGATTTGGAGTTCGGCCGTCGGTGGATCGATCTCCATCTCCATTTGCGAACTGTATGGACGCTTTCTGGGTTTAGTGGGTTTTTGTCAGTGCTGGTCAGGGATTTTCAAATTTTTGATTGGTTGAAATTTTCTACCTTATTTGGCTTTTTATGTAAAAATTGTAATATTCTGCATTCCAATTTTACATTACTCGTAAAAAATATATTTAATTTTTTATTTATTTTTTACTAATTATAAAATTATTTGTATAGTATAATTTATATTATAATATTATTATTATTGTAGATGTTTGAGTTACGGAAAGATGGATTTGTTTTTTGTATAAGTAATATGATTTGTGGTAAATTGATAATCTATTAGAACAATTATAATTTTAATGTGTTTTATATGATTTAAACTTAAGATAGTTGTTATTGTATTTGTGTAACAATTATGATAAATTGATGTTTATACTTTCTTATATTTTATTATAGTTATTTTAGATTTTAGTGTTATTGATTTATTGTATTGTTAAATTAGTACATATTATTTAATTGAATTATTAAAATGATTCAAAAATTAATAAGTACAAAAATATTTATTTATCGATTAATCGAGTAGGAAGTCAGATAAAAATATCACACCAGATCAAATAGGATAAACCAAGAAAAAATTCTTTCGTGGATAAGAAAACGAAATACTTTATTTCTTATCCGTAAGATTGGTAAAACAAACCTCCCCCCCCCCCCCCCCCCCCCCCCCCCGCGGGGGGCACTTTTCAGAACCCTCGTATTTATCTGCAGTAATATTACTTGAGGAAGGAGGTCCATTGTGCTAAGATATTGCGCTCAGGAAAATTTGTGTGATAAGTGCTATAATCTTTCCATACAACTACTCCACTTCATATTGATCATGAATGTNGAGGGGCACAATCGTAGCTTGAACTCAAAGCAAGGGTATAATGGTAAAATCGATAAACAAGGAAGCAGCACAATATTTGCTTAGACCATTATACCCTTTGCTTGAACAATGAATGGTAATGCAAATGGAGGAAAACAACTACATAGCGTGGCTCGTGGCCCATGGGTACGTAAATATGTCTGGTGGCCCATGGGCCTTCTATAGCCCAATGAATATGACCATCGCCATGGTTTTTGGCACTAATCTGATGAACATCAGCTAAGACACCCTAAAAAATGAATAATATTTATAAAAAAAAAAAAAAATAGTTTATAATTTAAATTTTAAAAAATAAATAAAATAACGTTTGTTATTCACGATTAAGATTATTTTAAATTTTACTTTAAAGTTAATCTAACGACTAATATTAAAACTCTAAATTTAATAGGAAAAATAGATTTCTAAGGATATGTTTTGAATAATTTTTTAAAAGTATTTTTAGGAATTATTTTTCATAAATACTTAAAAAAAAAAAAATTATTTTGAACTGCTTCACCACCACCACCACCGTCGCCACCACCACCACCACTATCGCCACCACCATCGCCGCCACCCTCCACCACCACCACTGCAGTCGTCGTCGCCACCACCATAATCATTATCACCGTCACTACCACCACCACCACCATCACAACTATTATTGTTTTCTACCATCGCCATTACCGCCCACTATCTCTCACCTCCACTACAAATCGATATTTAAATTCTTTTATCTCTTATCTATATTTGTTATTTAATTTTGGATTTAAAAATAAATATATTTATTATTTATAATTTTTTATTACTCTGTGTCTTCAGACACAAACAATAACTAATATTTTTATAAACAACAAAATTAATAATATTCTTATAAACAACAAAATTAATTGAGTATTCATATTAACTCATTCTACAAACTACTCTTCTACTAATTAGGATTGAAATCGTCTTTCCCATTTAATAGTAGGATTTAACAAATTTATTTATTATTCTATAATCAATTGGTAATATAACGTAATATGGATGACGTAGTCACAGTGTTACACCTATATATAGTTACTCCTTGTAGTAGCTGACCAGAAAAAAAGACTTCCCCGCCGCTTCCTCCATATCGTCGGCGGGCGAAAACCAGAGGTTTCCGAATGCTAATCCCCAGTGATTATTCACCTTATTATGTCCGTCAGAAACATGAGACAGAAACCATTGCAACTTCAACGAATTTTGAAATTCATTGCTTGTCGTGCTTTATCTCAGTCCCACCTGGAGAGAACTATAGCAACTTCGTCTTCTTATTCTTCTTCTCCTCTAGCTCAATTGAATCCAACACCTCATCATCAAAAATCTTTCTTTGAATCAGAATACAAGAACGGGCTTGTAAACCGGTTGTGTAAAGACAAAAAATTCAAAGAAGCCATAGACATTCTATGCCAACAGAAGCGTTTGGAAGAAGCAGTTAGAATACTAGATCATGTCGATCGTCCCTCTGTTTCTATATATTCAGCTCTTTTACAACTATGTCTTCAACAACGAGCTCTAGGAGAGGGGAAAAAGGTTCATGCTCATATCCAAGCCTCCGGTTTTGTACCCGGGATTTTTATTTCCAATCGCCTTATTGACTTGTATTGTAAATGCGAGAGCCTTGTTGATTCCCAGAAAGTGTTTGATGCAATGGGTGATAAGGACTTGTGTTCTTGGAATATTTTGATATCTGGGTATGCGAAAATGGGACAACTTGATGAAGCTCGGAAATTGTTCGACGCAATGCCCGAAAGAGATAATTTTTCTTGGACTGCAATGGTCTCGGGTTACGTTAGGCATAATCATCCTAATGAAGCGTTAGACTTGTATAGAGTGATGCAGAGGAGTGAGAGTTATAAGGGCAATAAGTTCACAACTTCTAGTGCTCTTGCTGCTTCTGCTGCCATTCAGTGTTTACCTCTCGGAAAGGAGATTCATGGTCATATAACGCGAACTGGATTGGATTCGGATGCAGTGGTTTGGAGTGCATTATCGGATATGTATGGAAGATGCAGGAGTATAGATGACGCTAGGTGCATATTTGATAGAACATCCGATAGGGATGTTGTTTCATGGACGACATTGATTGGTAGGTACTTCGAATGTGGGAGGTGGGAAGAGGGATTTTTGTTGTTTTCAGACTTGCTGAAGTCAGTAATTAGACCCAATGAGTTTACATTGGCTGGTGTTTTAAATGCATGCGCATATCAAACTGCAGAGGAAATGGGTAAGCAGGTTCATGGGTACATGATGCGAACTGGGTTTGATCCATTTTCATTTGCGGCTAGTGCCCTTGTTCATATGTACTCCAAGTGTGGTAACATTGAGACTGCACATAGGGTTTTCAAATGGATGCCCCAACCAGATTTAGTTTCATGGACTTCCTTGATCAATGGATATGCTCAGAATGGTCAACCCCATGAGGCTCTTAAGTTATTTGAGATGCTGCTAGAATCTGGTACTCAGCCTGACCACATTACTTTTGTTGGTGTTCTTTCTGCTTGCACTCATGCTGGTTTAGTGGATAAAGGGCTCGAATATTTTTACTCAATAAAGGAGAAATTTGGATTATCGCATACTGCAGATCACTATGCATGTGTGATTGATCTATTGAGTCGATCTGGCAGATTCAAAGAAGCTGAAGATATAATCAATAAAATGTCCATGAAGCCTGATAAGTTTCTATGGGCTTCTTTACTTGGGGGTTGCAGAATTTATGGAAACATTGACCTGGCAAAACGAGCAGCCGAAGCATTGTTTGAAATGGAGCCTGAGAATGCAGCTACTTATGTTACACTTGCCAACATCTATGCCAATGCTGGAAGGTGGGGTGAAGTATCAAAAATTAGAAAGATCATGGATGATAGAGGAGTGGTAAAGAAAGCGGGTTTGAGTTGGATTGAGATTAAGAGAAAAGTCCATGTGTTCTTGGTTGGAGATTCATCCCACCCCCAATTCAAGGAAATACACGACTTTTGGGGGGAGCTTTTTAAGAGGATGAGGGAAGAAGGATATGTCCCAGACACAGACCATGTGCTGCATGATGTTGAAGAGGAGCAAAAGGAGCAAAATCTTTCCTATCACAGTGAAAAGCTTGCAGTTGCATTTGGAATCATTGCTACTCCGCCTGGTACTCCATTAAAGGTTTTCAAGAATTTAAGAACTTGTGTTGATTGTCATACTGCAATTAAATTTATCTCAAAAATTGCTGAAAGAAAAATAATAGTAAGGGATTCAAGTCGATTTCATTGTTTCGAGGTTGGGATCTGTTCGTGTAAAGACTATTGGTGATTCTGACCACAATCAAGAAGTCCAGCATAATTGCAGAAAGAGAAAATGAGAAATTTATTTGGTAAGATGGGAGTTTTCCAACAACTTTGTATCTTCAGAGTGGAGCAGGTTGGAAGCTTGTCCAGCTCTTCAACATCAGTTGGAAATTCCTTGCTTGAATAGTGGACTAGGTTGATGAAGAAAGGTGTGCCATCAAACCCCCAGTGTCTAAGTTAACGGTATTTTATTGAACATCCTTAAGATGAAACAGGAGGCTACATATATGAAGCTGCAAAGCTGTAATGAAAGAATGGGATGTTGGTAACATTCGAAATGTCTGTCTTTGGGGAGGACAATTTATGTTGGTTGGTTATGCTGAGTAATATATTTACTGACTGTCTGTATCATATGATTTAGTTTGTGGCTTACATCATTTGTTATTCTAGAGCTTGAGAAGACAATAAGCAGAACCTCCTCACAGATCTCAGGGATGAGAAGACAATTGCTAGTTTGACGAGCATAGATGTGATCATGCAGTTAATCTCTAAGGCTGCCATACCACCAATTTGCCTGTGTAACCTGGAAACTGTTGATGACATTGACAACCTGGACTCTGATCCTGACCTTGACGTCTGACCGCAATAAAGGTCCTATGTGAATCTGATTGCAGTTGTGTCAAGGGTTGAATTGAAGAAGATTTTCGGGCTTATGGCTCCTTTTATTGCCTTCTGTAGGGAGGAGATTTGAGTTTACTACTTTCTCAGAGGATGGAAGCGGGAGTTACGACTTATTGAAATTTGAAAGGTCAGTTCCTGACCCATGACACACTCTCTGTCCAAGTCACATAGTCCTCAAACTTACATGTGGCCAAAAAGTGAGTTTTTAGTATTGCTTAAAGCATTTGGAGGCGGTCTGTTAGATTTTTGCAAACTCGCGTGCAGATACATGTGGTAAGTACCAATATGAAAAAACCTGTATAATCGGAATTTTTGATTCATTAATGCCACGGATAATGATGGCAGTAGCAACTGTCATATTATACTTGAAGTTGAAGAACACAACAAGCATCAGCAGGCATAAACATGGAAACGAAATGTGGAGGAGCCATAGAAGTAACAAAAAAAAGGAAAAAGTTCAGATTGAGCACAGCCCTCCCTTGCCAGTTTGGTTGGCCTCTCTATAGGCATGTGTCCTGCGCGTCCCCAGGGAGCTACCTGCAGTCATCAATGAGAACAGGAAATTTACATTAGTATCTGTTTTCCAAAAACTTTTAAACCCCCAATTGTCTGTCTTTGCTGCCTGAATTTCTTTGCAATTGAAAAAAACTTCTCTACAAATCGAAAATTTTCCCAATGGTTCCTGTGAATGTTAAGAACCTGGTAATGTCCTAAGGAATGGCTTCCTGTTTTGAACAAGGTGCCCCAAAGGGGTGACCTGAGAACACAAGTGCATGAATGGTCACCTTGAATCAGTCAAACCACCTGTGTTCTCAGTGTCACTCCTCTGGGGTTTGCCCTAGCTGCATGAACATAGAACCTTAGATGGAGATGGAAGATTTTAAAATTGCATTGCCTTTTATAATGGTGGAAGCAAACCTATTGTCACTATGTGGTCATGGCAGGGTATAATGTTGTCATCTTTTTGCATACCTAAATCGAAATAATTGACTTGTGTAACTATCCCAGTGAAGCAGCTGCATAAAGATGTGGTCATGGCTAATGCCTCACTTTCACAACCCAACGACCCTTGATGCGGAGGTGTGTCCATGGGCGGGGCCGGGGTAGGCCCGTAATTTTTTTTGGGTCAGACTTGGGTAATGTAGGCTCAATCCCTTATCCAAGTAAGTTATCGGATGGGTAGGACTTCGGGTAAAGGTAAGTTACCCGCAGCCCAACCCAAGAGCCTATTGGGCGGACCTATTCGTTAGTTTTTTTTATATACAATTTCATTCAAAAATAATGAATCTTTTTTGTAACTTAATATTTGTGTAAATTATATTTTTGAATAAAAAATAAAGTCAAAATGGATAAAAATAAAATAATGAATAATTTTATTTTTGATTAGAGAATGAATTATATCTCAATTAAGTTGACACCTATTTACTTATCTATCATTTGCATTATTCTATCTTTTAAAATTTGTATGTTTAATACATGAAAAAAATAATAATACATTATTTATAGTATCTAAATTTTTAAAATTTTAAATTTCGACATTGGGAGACTTATTTCAATATTTTAAGTTTAATGATTTAAAAATATAATTTTTTTTTAAAAGAAGGGTGGGCAGGTGCTTGAGCCGAGTTTTAATGGGTTTTTTTTGGTGGGTTATTGGGCCAGATTTTATTCCAAGTAATGGGTTTGAGAGTAAACTCAAACTCTCTTTTAAGGATATTGAGTTTGGGCTCAAGTAAGCCAACTATCGAATTTATCAGGTTTCAGACCTATTATTTTGGGCCAACAAATAGAATCTGTGGGTAATTTGGCCCATGAACACCCCTAGATGTGGTTGTTTGTGGGTACGACCACAAGCAAGAGCGAAGCCAACAGTTATTCACATTCACAACCCAACAACCCTTGACGTGGTTGTTTGTAGGGGCGGAACTCGCATTTATTCGTGAGCTTGTTTGGTAGACATATTATGAGTTTGATTAAATATTATATGGTATTATTATTAATTTAANTGTTTGACTAAATATTATATGGTATTATTATTAATTTAATCGGGGTTAATATTTTGTTTAGTAGATAAATTTAATTCTGTATTAATTTTAAAAATGTGTATTAATTATTTATTTATCGTATATTTTTTGTACGATAGACCTATATTATTGAGATACCAGTTATAACTCCTGCCTGAAGGCACGATGAAATATAAAATTCGAGTGCTTGAAAATCGATCTCACTATATTTAAATTTTTTAACATATGTATATTATTATATATGAATAATGTTTGGAATAAAAATTATGTTAAATTACAAATTAATCAAATATTAAATGATTGAACATGTGATANAAATAAAAATTATGTTAAACTACAAATTAATCAAATATTAAATGATTGAACATGTGATATGAGTGATGTGATGTTTATAGGAGGAAATATATGTAGGGGATAAATATTCAAATTGCTATGTGTTTTATTATATAAATTTTAATATCACCGAGAGAGAATAATATTATAATTCAACTCACATATATTGTTGTACACATTTACTATTATAACCCTATAACTGATAAGAAAAGTTGTCATTAACATAACAAACACTTTGACGCACGCTAAAATTGATTGAAGATATTTTTGTTAATTCAATATTAAATGATGAAATAATTCCCTAATCAAACAACAAATTGGACTAAATAATTACTATCTAAATACTTATGTTGTGTATGTCACATACAAGATAAAATTATTTATTATTTTAATATTTCATTTAATCTTATTTTTTGTTCATTTGTATTATATTAGACTGAATTCATTTATCCAATTCACTCATTTTTAATACAGCAACCAAACGGAGTTAATACTCGTTCTATTTCAACACAATAAGATCGATCTTAACACATGCAAATAACTCATTCTATCTAACCACACCCTAAACTCTTGATATGATAACGGAAAATTATCAGTAAAAAAAAAAAATTCATTGTTTTGATATTCTTAAGAATTGTCTAATGTAAAAACTACAAAACATGACTAGTACTAAAACGTAAAATGAAAGAAACAAATCCTAAGGCTAATCCTTCTAAATCAGAAAAAGAATCACAAGAAGAAGAAAAAGGAGCAAAAAAATCTTAAGCACAGGCTGGAGCTCTGAAGCCTTTTAGAGTAGCAAAAACAATCGAATCAGGCGCAACGGTGATCGGTGTAGTTGGATCAACAAGCTCTGGATTCAAAGCTGGGATGTTCAATGATTTTGTGAGCTTCAATGGAGTCCCATTGAGCAGCAATACATCACTCTGAATGTTGCCATCTTTTGGAGTCAAATGGTACTCTTCTCTTTGCACTCCATCTTCAGAGTCCAGTGTCTGTTGTAGCTCAGGGTACAAATTCAGATCATCAACAACCGAAACTTGGAAAGTAGTAGAGTTTGACATGTTGATGAGAAGTACAGTAATGCCATGCTGAAACAGAAAATTGATTCAAATTAGTACTTTTAATGAGGAACTAAACTTGGTGTTTTTCTGTTTTTTTTTTTTTTGAGGAAATAATCTCGAACCCGGTATAAGAACTAAGAACTATTTAAGTTATCTTACTGAATTCTTTGAACAATGAGAATAGGCGCGGAGATTAGGGGAGCTGTCATGATTGGTGGAGAGCACATTCTTTCCCATGAGACGATGCCACAGNTTTTGAGGAAATAATCTTGAACCCGGTATAAGAACTAAGAACTATTTAAGTTATCTTACTGAATTCTCTGAACAATGAGAATAGGCGTGGAGATAAGGGGAGCTGTTATGATTGGTGGAGAGCACATTCTTTCCCATGAGACGATGCCACAGAAGTGCACTGTGAAAGGACCAAAAATTGGAAAACAGAAATTGAAAATTGTGTTGGATTAAGACTTTTAAATGGTTAGTAATTCACGGGTTGATATGTTAAATCAATGTTTAATAAACTGACCCATAATGATCTGGATTAGGGATGAATGTTGTTGTGTTTAGGAGAGCATAGTTCCCCCCAATTAAGGCTTGTCTGCAGTAAACCTTGTAGTTGAAGGTTGATGTCATGCCCAGTTGATCCAAATACCTGTTTCAACTAAAAGTTTAATTTGATGTTTAAACAAATGGCAGCCCAGTGCACGAAATTCTCACCAGTATTTATTTATATTCTATGGGGAGAGGACTGAGGGAAGAGAGAGAGAGAGAGAGAGATTCAGACCAGAAGCCATTGACAAAGGTGTGAGAAACATCTTTGCCACCACTGTTGTAAGCTCCACCTGCTTCTCCAACCCATGCTCCAGACCATGGTCCAAACTGTTCAACATTGGTTGAAATATCCTTAAATGTCTGAGCTATTTGGTCAAGGAAAAATGGATCCTGGACCTTGTTGATAAGGTCGGAATCAACACCTACACACAAGAAAATTTTTTAATTCAAGATCCTACATTACAAACACAATCAAGATGATATCTCCAACACATTATAATCAAATTCATAGAGTTAAACTGAAGACTCCCGGAACTCCTGAGTTTCTAAAAAGTTAGGTGTACATTATCTAACCCTTAGGTGTAGAGGGACAAAGTTGGTTTAAATGTATCAAACTTATTCACTTACCCGCACCAAGGTTGTAGATATGGTGGGTTAATCCATCAACAACACCTGGTCCTGAAACCTGCAAGAAGGTATTGAACCATTTTTCGTCGTAAAAGCCAGCCAGACCGAAGACCTTAGGCTGGTCTTTAGGGTCTGGGTACACCTCTTTCACAAGGTTTTTGAGTGCTTTCATATCTTTGCCATATTTGTTCAGCCTCAACTCTGGCAGCCACCCCACTTCCACTTAGCTCATTACCTAAAGGACATTAAGTAGAACAATTATGAGCAAAACAGTACACAAACATTATATATGTTTTAAGTTTCTAACAAAATATTACACGAATTGGGATTATAATTCTACCAACCGAGTTCATAAGAATCAATCTTGTATCCCTTTGAGACGCTGTATTGCATGAGATCGCGGGCATTATGGAAATTCCAGTCTCCTTCCCAAAGAGAATCATCATCTTCTGACTTTTTCCTCCCATATAGAGCATTAAACCCGAACGTATGCAAGACTCTGAACAGAAGAACAAGTGAAATACTGTTCGAATGTTGGAAGTTCGATCATTTTCTATGAGAAAGATGTGTGAGGGTTGTGTGTGATTGAAGAATGTACCCGGTTTCGTTGAATAATTTGTTGATTTCATCCCATCTCTTCATGCGGAAGCAACCTTTTACTAAATCCAAACAAACCATCCTTTTTCTTCTTAAAATGAGGGCATTTCTTGACCGACGCTCCAACCTTGTACACCACCTGATCTTGCAACGAACCTCCAATTCTAATTCGAAGAGGATATAATGCTGCGATTTTTTTCAGAAACATAACAGTTTTAGAAGCAATGAACTTCATAAAATAATGAGTTTGAACAAATTAACTTGCTCCTACCAGGGCCTAATTAACCTTTTTCTTAACCTAAGTGATATGGACTGCATTATAATTCTGAGTCATTAGCAAATAATTGAAAACAAAAGTAACACCCATGGTTCTAGGTCAGAGCGGTATCGGGTGATACCACCTAAAATAATAAGTTAAACATAATAAGAAATTTAGATATTGCGCCCAATTCAGTAACGATAACTCGACGACTCAGAGATGTGTTGAGCAACTCGATTGAGTCGTACAAAACTCAAGATTTATACTTATTGTGAAATAGTATTGTTTTGAAAAGTACCAGTCTTATTGATATCAACCGACATTTTGAATTTTAATAACACCCAATTTAGTCCCCTTACTGAGGTTGATGTTACATATAATTAATCTAATATTTTGCTTTGTACGAGACATTTTTTAAGGTTTGTTAGCCACATGTGTATGTATGCACCTTAGGTTTTGCTTATTTAGGTAGTGCTTGTGATCAATATATAATAACTGAATTAGTCCTCAACGCACTGCAGCCATAAATCTATTCCTTTCTTATAAACTTCTCTGGTTATGTAAAAATGCACATAACATCTTTATTTGTAGAGTTAAACCGATTTACTATAGTGCCTCTCAACATCTATAAAGCACAGATACAATGAGAAACGGTAAACAAAGTCTACAACAAAAATATATTTTATATTTTTACTATTATTTACTAATTTACTAATTATATTTATATGTTTTGTTAATTCTTTTACAAAAACAAACAAAAATAGCAATTTCTCTTGTTTTCAAACAAGTATCGTCTCATTATTCACAAAGTGAAGATAACTAATTAAAAAAATTAGAATCGACATTTATTTGGATGGTTTGCTTAAAAGTTAGTACAATAAATTCTTGTTATTCTCTTTCGATATGTAATAATAGATAACACTTAAAAAATTATTTATGTGTCTTTAAAATCATATGAATTCTTATCGATGACTTGATGTATTGCATTTTATTTGAATTAGAAAGAAGATGGTATAGATTAAATTTAAAAATTATATATATTGCTTCAATACAAAAATATCTATTGAAATATCCATATATTTTATTATTATCATATACGTAACATGCGTATCTGATACGTTAACCTTAATAAAGTATTTGTGCTTCGTAACTCAAGTTATACTTAAGTTAAAAAAATACTAAAAAATAATATGATACAAAAAGCACTGGGTTCTCTGTATCAAATTCATGTCATGGTGAACACAGGTTAGACGAGTTCCAAAGATCATGGGTTATAATTTTATCATATCATAAGTGTGTCAAGCCAAAAAATAATCTCAAACTCGAACACGACTCCCTAATTATGTTATATTCTTTAACCCAAACTCACAAACTTTGTATTGATTTTTAGAATTGTCATGCACAAAAAATTAATGACATATGCATCAATAATACCATATAAACTTATTCTAATCCATCTTACCCTTGATAACGTTTGCCAGAATCTTGTTATCCAAATCCTGCAAGTTTTACAACAACCCATATGAGACATAAATTTTCCTTTTCTATTGTAGCAGTACAAACATCAACTTGAAGAGAGAGAGAGAGAGAAACCAGGTTGAGAAGGCCAGCTTTTCCCCATGGGCACTGATTGTAGTCGTACTTATTAGTAGGCCACCAATCCAATGTAGCACAGATGAAGTTATCATCTGTTTGCTATGGAGGTCACCCCTTTCACTGTCAACTTCACTTCTTCTGCCATTGACAAACAAAAACATGATAGAAGAAGAACACTAGGCAATAAACCTCTTGAAGCCATCTGTCTCAGATTTTTTTTCAGAACTGATTGTTGGTTGAAGAACTAGTCTTTGCAGGGATTGATAGAGATTTTTATAACAAGGATTAAGAGTTCGAAACCCACTGAAATGTGAAATATAGTAAGATAAGATAAGATAAAGATGAAAACAAGGATTTAGAGTAAACCTTAACTTCTAACAGAATCAGTTCCTGTGCGAGGGGAATAAGGTTTCTCTCTTTTGTATTATTATTATTATTATTATGTCTGAGTTGTCCTTTGTGAGTTCGTTGCTATTTAGAAACGCTGCGCTGTTTGGTAAGGGGGTAGGGCCTTGCAGGATTGGTTTTAGAAAAATAGTCAAAGGATCCTAAATAATTGAAAATTCAATATTGGATTCCTAAATTCGACTGGTAGTTGGTCCGAATATTAAACTCATAATCATGATTTTCGTTAAATCTAAATGGTGGGTGAGTTTGGGAAGATGGGTTAAGGGTTTAAGGATACAAAAGACAATTGTACCCCTTAACATTAGTATGAATTAAATTAATTAAAAATAAAATAATTATTTATAGGACAAATAGTTATTAATAATTATGATATATTTGTGTGTTCTACATATGTATGTGTTACATATCAAACATTATTACATGAGCATGAACCGAATTTAATGATAAATCCAATATTTGTAAAGAGAGATTTGTGAAAATCGATCCAAACCCTCTCCAAAAATCTATCTAAACAAGTCCTCTAAATTTTGTGAGGTTCTTATGAACAAGATAACTAATGCCAACATTTTATGGGAAACGTAGCATAAACAAAATCCATATGATAACACTATTAATAATCTTATGCCTGAAGACATGCAATGTCAAAAGTTAAATATTGATCGTATAGTCTTTTTTATTTTAAATAAAAAATTATTTTTTATTTTATTTTATTTAATTCAACAATTAAAAATTAAAGGGTAAAGAGAGAAAAAATAAGAGATATGTAGGGGAGAGAAAAAAATAAGAGATATAAAAAGAGAGGTAGGTATAGATTAATAGGTTATTTGACATTAAGGGTCGTGCAAAAAAGATGATATTTTGAGTAAAAAAAAAATATTTGAATGAATTTTATATCATTGGATCAAAGTAGATGAAAATTGAGTCAATATTAATTGTTGTTATACGTTATAAATTGATAAATTAACTTTCTAGCTATAAAGCTAAATAGATAACTAATTCCAATACATTGGGCATGTTTGGAGCTGACTTTTTTAGGTGATGAGTTGTGATTTGAAAAGTTTCACAAAAAAAATCAGAATTAAAAAAGTCATTCAAAACAGTTTGAGGTGTTCTTTTAAAAGTTGAAAAAGTTCGTTCAAAGAGACTTTCTAACTTTTTTGTGTCAAAATAAAAAAAAAATAATTACATGTATGTATAGATTATACATAACAGTTCCCAATATAAGAATTTCAAATTTTTTACGTCACTAATAATATTTTATGAATATAATAAACTAAAAAGTTATAGTGACTTGCAATAAAATTGCAAAAAACCAAGAAAAAACACATAAATTCAATTTTTTGAATCAGTCTAAATAAGTCTTTTTAAGTCTAAAAAACTGCTGCATAAGCTGATAAAAAAATTCAAAGTCCAAACAGATCTGATTTATTTTATTCAAAAATCCTTAAAAATTACGCATTTCCAAACATTCCTATTGTTTTCACTTCATGCTCAACCGTAAAACTGTTGCTACCAAACAAATCAGAGACATAGTATATGCTCACATCACCATTGTCTTCATTGCAACTTGGTTAGCTTCCAACACTACCATTACTTTGCAGTTTAGTTTTACGTATTTAGCATCATCTTGAACTCATCCCCTATAGGTAATCTGTTCAACTCCAAGAATAATAGATACTCCACCTGGCATCCACGAAGCTGTGGTTGGATTGCACCATGCCAAAAAAATCACAACCCTAAATATCCCAGACATAATATAATCGTCCATTCAATGGTTTCTCAGATTCAACCATTTTAATCATCGCTTTTCGCCCATGTGCACATACTTTGGAATTGAACCTTACATCCAATGTCGCCCCTACCCTGATGTTAGTTGAAGAAGACATCTTGATGTACCTTCGTGTTTTTATACAAATTAAAAAGGAAAATAAATTAGAGTACTTAGGTTTAAATCAGTTCCATGTGATCAAAAAGTTAGAGTAAAATACTTGTCTTAGAATTTATCTCCTTTCTTCACTCTGGGTAGCCTTGTCTTTCCATCAGTTTTCCTCCAAATGACTGCTGAGAGAGAGGCAGAATGGTTAAGTATAGGTAGAGGGGGAGCATTTTCGTCTTTCAGACTTGATCTTTCGAGAGATAAATAGTTTTTTCTCATACCAACTCATCCATTTTGCATCTGCAAGACACGCTAACGGAAAAAGTGACGATAACACCTTAATCCAAAAGTATAATGGGGTTATGTTCTTATTTTTAAATGATAAGAGGGTGATGTGCTGTAAGGACAAACCACATTAGAGTAAAATGAAGTTTGCCCAAACAAACTAGTTGGGAAGGGGTGATTATCGGAGAAAAGATAGATTCTACTATTTAGTTAGGACAAATGAGTGACTGTAAAGCATACTCCGGAGGAGATTCACCCTTCCCCGAAAAAAAATGAAAAAGAATTTCAGATTGAGCAGAGCCTTCCTTGCCATTTTGATTTGTCTCTCTATAACTAGTACCCTGCATGTTTCCAAAAATGTGCCAATAAGCTACCAGCAATCATCAATAAGAACAGGAAATTTTACCTTAGTATATATATGTCCAAAAACATTTAGACCCTCCAAGTGTCTGTCTTTGCTACCTAAATTTCTTTGCAATTAAAAAAAAAAAAAATTCTACTGATCGAAAATTTTTCCTATGGTTCTTGTTTCACAGCCACAAAAACCATAATAAATGCTGAGAACTTGGTAATGTCCTAAGGAATAGCCTGATATTTTGAACAGGGTGCCCCAAAGGGGTGACCTGAGAACACAAGTGCATGAATGGTCACCTTGTACCAGTCAAACCGCCTGTGTTTTCAGTGTCACTCCTCTGGGGTTTGGCCCTAGCTGCATGAACCGAGAACCTTAGATGGAGATGGAGATGGAGGATTTTAAGATTGCATGGCCTTTTATAATGATTGAAGCAAACTTACTGTCACTATGTGGTCATGGCAGGATATAATGTTGTCATCTTTTTGCATACCTAAATTAAAATAATTGACTAGTCTATCTGTCCCAGTGACGCAGGTGCATAAAGATGTGGACATGGCAATGACCACAGCCCAGGGGGGAGTTAGGAGTTATTCACATTATGTTGAATAGAATGATGGGACAATTTACCTCACACATATATAGATTGTGTTTGGTGTAACTTGTTAACCGTAAAATTTAAATAGGATTTTGATTGATCCAAAACTTATTTGGAAACTCGATTCGAATTTAATCTAACTATTCAACAAACTTAATTTTTACAATTCATATCTGAATCCTTTAAAAAAAATAAAAGTACCGGGGCTGAGTTTTGGTAAATTACACTTCAATTTCAACGCAATATCATCAAATAATCACTTATTATTAATTAGTATATCTATATATATATGTTTGCATGCAATTATATCAAATCACAATTGAACCACTATAATTTTTTTCGGCTAACTTTTTCATGGGAACAAGTTCTAAATAATTTTCAAATTTTTAAAAATTTACATGAAACTCAAAAAAAATTGAAATTGGAAGTGGGGGCACCATATATTCGCCATTGACTACAAGTTTCGTGTGCATACGAGATTTGTGTTACAATCATGAGTTTAAAATCAGATATTGACCTCAAGATTTGGTTAGATCCCATCATCATATAATTTGACCATAAGATCAATCTTAACACTTGCAAACAACGCATTTAGTTTGAAAAAAAAACATTATTGTTTTGATTTTCTATGGATTGTCTAAAGTGAAAATTACAGAACATTACTAGTACTAAAACGTAAAATAAAAGAAAGAAAACCTAAGGCTGATACTTCTAACTCAAAAAGAGAACCCCTACAAGAAGAAAAGGCAGCAAAACACTCTTAAGCACAGGCTGGAGCTTTGAAGCCTTTCAGAGTAGCAAAGACAATCGAATCAGGCGCAACGGTAATCGGTGTAGGTGGATCAACAAGCTCTGGATTTAAAGCTGGGATATTCAACGATTCTGTGAGCTTCAATGGAGTCCCATTGAGCAGCAATACATCACTCTGAATGTTGCCATCTTTTGGAGTCAAATGGTACTCTTCTCTTTGCTCTCCATCTTCAGAATGTAGACCAGGGTATAAATTCAGATCATCAACAACCGAAACTTCGAAAGTAGTAGAGTTTGACATGTTGATGAGGAGCACAGCAATGCCATGCTGAAACAGAAAATTGATTCAAATTAGTACCTTTAATGAGGAACTAAACTGGAGGTTTTTATGGCTTTTTTTTTTTTGGAAGAAATAATCTTGAACTCGGAATAAGAACTATTTAAGTTATCTTACTGAATTCTTTGAACAATGAGAATAGGCGCGGAGATAAGGGGAGCTGTCATGATTGGTGGAGAGCACATTCTTTCCCATGAGACGATGCCACAGAAGTGCACTGTGAAAGGACCCAAAATTGGAAAAAGTAGAAACCGAAAATCTTGTTGGGTTAAGATTTTCAAATGGTTAGTAATTCATGGATTGATGTGTTAGACCAATGTATGAGAAACTGACCCATAATAATCTGGATTAGGGATGAATGTCGTCGTATTTAGGAGAGCATAGTTTCCCCCAATGAAGGCTTGTCTGCAGTAAACCTTGTGGTTGAAGGTTGATGTCATGCCCAGTTGATCCAAATACCTGTTTCAACTCATAGTTTAATTTGATGTTTAAACAAAGGGCAGTCTAGTGCACGAGGTTCTCACCGGTATTTATTTATATTCTAGGGGAGAGGGAGAGAGAGAGAGGGAAGGAGATTCAGACCAGAAACCATTGACAAAGGTGTGAGAAACATCTTTGCCACCACTGTTGTAAGCTCCACCTGATTCTCCAACCCATGCTCCAGACCATGGTCCAAACTCTTTAACAGTGGTTGAAATATCCTTAAATGTCTGAGCTATTTGGTCAAGGAAAAATGGATCCTGGACCTTGTTGATAAGGTTGGAATCAACACCTACACACATGAAAATTTTCTTAATTCAAGACCCGACATTGCAGACACAATCAAGATCATATCTCCAACACGTTATCATCATATCCATAGAGCTGATCCCAATGCAAAAAAGGGCAACTTAGCATCCATACGCAGTCTTATTCTTGCATTCAGTGAAGTTGAATTGTTTTGAATGTCTAAAACTTAGTCACATACCTGCACCAAGGTTGTAGACATGGTGGGTTAATCCATCAACAACACCTGGTCCTGAAACCTGCAAGAAGGTATTGAACCATTTTTCATCGTAAAAGCCAGCCGGACCCAAGACCTTGGGCTGGTCTTTGGGGTCTGGGTAAACCTCTTTCACAAGGTTTTTGAGTGCTACAATATCTTTGCCATATTGTTCAGCCTCAAGCCTAGCAGACACCCCACTTCCACTTAGCTCATTACCTAAAGGACAATAAGTCGAACAATTATGAGCAAAACTGTACACACATATTATACATGTTCTAATTTTCTAATCAAATATTTCATGAATTGGGATTATAATTCTACAAACCGAGTTCATAAGAATCGATCTTGTATCCCTTTGAGACTGTGTATTCCATGAGATCGCGGGCATTCTGTAAATCCCAGTCTCCTTCCCAAAGAGAATTATCATCTTCGGACTTTTTCCTCCCATATAGAGCATTAAACCCGAACGTATGCAAGACTCTGAACAGAAGAACAAGTGAAATACTGTCAGAATGTTGGACATTTGATCATGTTCTATGAAAGTCTGTGTGTGTATGTGTGTGTGTGTTTTTTTTTTGGGGGGGGAGGGGGGTGGATTAGGGGGTGTGTTTGAAGAATGTACCCGGTTTCCTTGAATAATTTGTTGATTTTATCCCATCTCTTCATGTGGAGGCAACCTTTGCTAAATCCAAACAAACCATCCTTTTTCTTCTTAAAATGAGGGCATTTATTGGCCGATGCTCTAACATTGTACACCACTTGATCTTGCAACGAACCTCCAATTCTAAGTCGAAGAGGATTGAACGCTGCGATTTTTTTTCCACAAAATTTAAAGCTTTTTAGAAGGAATGAACTGCAGAAAATAGCGAGTTTGAATAAACTTGCTTCTACCACGGCCTAATTAACCTTGTCCTTAAACATAAGTGAGATGGACTGCATTACAATTCTAAGCCATTAGCAAATAATCGAAAACAAATGTAACACCAAGGTCGTGATATCGGNTTCTGCCATTGACAAACAAAGACATGGTAGAAGAAGAACACTAAGCAATAAACCTCTTGAAGCCATCTCCCTCAGATTTTTTTCAGAACTGATTGATGGTTGAAGAACTAGTCTTTGCAGGGATTAAGAGATTATTATAATAAGGATTAAGAGTTTGAAACCCATTAAAATTTTGAAAAGTGATAAGTTAAGATAAGATAAAGATGAAAATAAGGAATTAGAATACAACTTCTAACAGAATCAGTTAATGGAATAAGGGTTACTTAACCAAAAAGCCTGACCCTTTAGGTTAGGCCACCCCAAAGCACCAGATCTCATATATTTTTTAGGGAGTCTAAGCAGGAAAGGAACCTATCGTTGAATGGATGTCCATGGGTCAGGTTCAAGTTAGACCAGATTATAAAGGTTCGGCTGAATTCTAAGCTCAGGCCGGCCCGGCCCTGAAAATACATGATTTTGCACCTCCAAGGCCGGCCCGGGGTGTCCTTATGATGCTATGACTGTCCGATGAATAAGAGATAAACTCGGACTTTGGGAGGACCATTCTCGTAGGAATTGGAGTAGGAATATGACAAACCATTAGAATGCCGGACCAAGCTCAACTCTTTAACCATTTTGTCCATTGTCCAGGGCCGGTCAGTCCGATTTCGACCAGTTTTTGTACCAAGAGGGCCAGCCTGGGGTGTCCTTGTGATGCTATGATTGTCCGAAGGATAAGAGATAAACTCGGACTTTGGAAGGACCATTCTTGTAGGAGTTAGCGTAGTATTTTTGGGTAGACCTTCCCCTTTCAACCCAAGTCTTTCCAAGCATGTGCATTGGCTTGGATTTGTGGATTATTCCGTCCAAGCCTTTGTTTGGTTTCTTAGATTACAATTTTCTGGGGTCCATAAATTATATTAACTTATTAATTACAAAACACTCATCTTTCGTTTGTTCGTCAAGATAATGTTAAAAAATTCAAGGAAAAATTTTACATATGTTTATTTAGTATGAAATAGAAAATGGTAGAAAAAATAATTTTCTACCATGCTTAAATTTTTTCACATTTAATTAACTCTTTTTTTTTTTTGCAAAAAATACAAGGAAAAATAAGAAAGTTGTGTGCAATAATCTAATTTCTCATTTTACTCTTATTTTTTAAAAAATATTCTTTGTCCCTAAATTAGGTTAGGAACCAATTTTTTTAAAATTTGAATAATAAAAAATATTTTTTTTCTTTAGACTAAGTTAAAATAATTAAGAATAATTTAGATAATTAAAAAAAATTTCTTGTAATTTTCCTTTCTTTCAAGCAATGGAATGAAATTATTTTAAAATTTTCTTAGAAACTTTTCATACTAACCAAATATATGCATAAAAATATATTTTTTTCATTTCAATTTCTATCTCTTTCGCTTCCCATTATCTCTTTTTTTTGCTAATACCCAATGAAATTTTGTTGGTTGCCCTCCTTAACCCACCTCATGGGTGGTTATAAAAAGCCCATGTAAATAGGGTAAGTGGTTCTAGTCAACTCGGGTCAGGATAGAATCATAGAACCTTGGTGGAATTTTCGGTCGCAGTTTCGGCTACCCAAACATGCGATATCTAGGCCCAGAGGCTTTTCCTCCGATCCAACCAATGGTTAGACCCTACTATCCAACCATATCCATAAAGTACTTGTATTTTGAATTAAATTCTATATCTATATTTATATTTATATCTATACTAATTATGAATGTCAGTATGTGTAAAAAAAAAATTTAATTTCTTATTTTATCCCTAATTATTATGATAAAATTATTTATACCATATCTAAATTTTTTTTTTTATACTTATTTGACTTTCAATTTTTTTTAAACTCTTTTGAAATAATTTTAATTTTTTTTAAACTCATTTATTAATAGTACAGTTACATACAACTATCTATATCTATATGAAAAAGTAAAGTCTCATATATGTTAAACATTATACACATGTTATCACTAATTATTATGATAAAGTCAATTATACACATCTATATACTTTCATTTAATTTTTACTTTTTACATCTACTTAATTTTTAATTTGTTTTTGACTCTTTTATTGCGACTTTTAAATTCTTTTGAATTCAAATATTAGTGGTACAATTACATACAATTGTTTATATTTATATGACGAAGTAAAGTCTTATATATGTTAAATTCATATATATATATATATATATATATATGAAGTAAAGTCCTATATATGTTAAATTATTATATACATGTAGTTATAAGGTTTAATTCTTCAGTTAAACATATATTTTATTTTATTTTTTGATATGTAATATAATATAATAATATTATAAGTGATTTAATCAACCTATTTAATAAAATTAAAATTAATAATTTTATAATATAATTAGATGTACAAATGCTTAATTGAGTTGAAGAGATATCTAAATAAATGATAGATTAGTTACTAAAAAAATTATAAAATAAATCAATAATTAAATTTAGTAATAATTAAAATACGAATTAATTATTCAACACCTAATTTATTATTTAATTTAATTATACATATAATTCATTTTTTTAATAAAAATAATATTATTAACAAAGACAGTGTAACAATACACTGTAATAAAAACAGTGTTAAGTGGTGATGAATGAACGAAAGTGTATTTTAAATACCCTATTATTGGATTAAAATTTTAAAATGTGAATACAAATAATTAGATATAATTTATATTATTGAATTTAATATTAATTCACACTGAGATATATTTGAGCATAATTTTATAATATTTTAAATCTTAATTATTGCATTATTGATTGGTGAGAGATAATTTATAATTAAACATTACACTTAACATTTTTTTGAACTTTATTATTTGATTTTTATATTTATTTTTATTTTGATGACAACTGATGAAGTGAAAAAGTTTAAACTGATGCTGCTATCACATTGGCCCATCACTCAGTAGATTTAGGCTTTAACTTTCCCAAATACATGCAGTTTGGGCTTCAGGGGCTGAAATAGAAAGGCTAAAATATAGAGGAGCTGAAATAAAAAGGAGATGAAATTTTTTTTTTTCAAAAAATAGATTGACTTTTAAAACCTATACTTTTTCTTTGAGGCGTCTGTTACTCTGATAGAGGGTGGCGGCTGTTTCTTTTCTTGGCTTGGGAGCTAACGCAGATCAGAAAAATGTCGATGGCAGCCGGTTTGTTGTATTTTTTTAGGAGATTTTTGTTGTCCATTTTTTTTATGAATAACTAAATTTTCAAATAAGACGGGGATGAACTTGCACAGTAGATGATATTTTATTTATTTTTAATTTATGTATTTAATTTTTAATTATTAAAACTCTTTTGTTTTATTATTCTTAATTCATTGTTGATGTTTTTTTTTCCGAATAATTATAAAATTTATTTTGTTTATGAATTTAGTGAAGCTTTTTCTATTGAATGGATTAGCTCTTTGATTATGTTTGGATCAGATATTTATCTATATTAATTTAATTCTTTATTGTAATATTATTTTTTGAGTATATTGTCGTCATTGAATTTTTTCAATAATGATAATAATTTACGTATTTTCAAAATGGCGAATGATTTTTCAAATGGTTATATTTGGTTTAATCTTGATTTATAAATCTATACCTTCCAGTTGTGAATTTTGGCCGATTGAGTTATTCAATGAATTAAGAATAATTAAAATATCAGATTTGTGCAAGAGAATCCCGACGCTTTATTGTTTGTCAATTTTGAGTACTTTTTTTGTTAGTCACTTTGTTTCACTTTAAGTTACATTTAAAATTAATCTTTATTCTCTAGTAATCATTTAATATTTTTTTTAGTTCATTTGTTTCTTCTACTATTCTTTTAGTTTGTCTCTTTGTGGAATCGACGCCTCAAATCTGTGCTACAACTATCGCGTTATTCTTTGGACATAATCAAGCGGTTTTGTGCATGTGATAACAAATTCAAAACAGAGATGAACTGTTTTTAATGAAATTATATAAAAATATATGTTTGACAAAATATAATAGTATAATATTTTGTGTAAATATTTTGTTACACTATTATTATTACACTGTTATAGAGTTCGGATATTAATATAATTTGGAAACAAAACCATTTTCTAAAAAAAATACCTATGAATCAAGGGAGGACATAAAAGTACAAAATATTAAAGTTTTCCTATAAAATTAGGAGATGTTTAATGCACTACTTTTTAAAAAAAATACGCATGGATCAAAAGAGGAGATAAAAGTCAGAAGAAAATATAAAAATTTCAAATAATGTACTTGAAAACTGATAAGTATCAAAATTAAGGACTCTTTTTACACTATATTTTTTTTAATGTAATTTTTTTACAATTAACTCTAATTTGATGTACTCCTTCCAATTTTGCCCTTAAAAAATTAAGAATAATATGTGAATTAGAAAGAAAAAAAACTTGTTGCATACATTATACAGTCCTTCAGATCAAGTTGGTCTGTGGGCCAATAATCCTGGCCCAGGCTCTGTCCACGGGACAAAAAACTTGGCCGAGCCTTTAACTTTTTGGTTTGGACTTTTTGGGCCGATCTGCCTGTCAGGCGCATGGCTACCACTATTGAGAAGGTGTAGTTGCATTGTCAGTAGACTCAATACTTTTTTTTTTGATCAAACCATAGAAGTATGCATTTCATTAAGTTAGGGAAATTTTGGTTACAATCATTCAAAATAAAAGCCTTAAGTTCTTGCGGGGGATAACCAACCCAGTCCAATGGGAGCAAGCTGTGCATTGCAGCGGTTGTCACCCAGTGAGCTGTCTTGTTACAGGCTCTTGACTTGTGTAAATAATAAATGTTGTCTAATCTAGTAAAGTGTTTAATATCCTCCATAAGAGTATTAATTTTCCACAGGAAAACATCTTCAGAAGTGCTCAGCTTGATAACATTGAGGAAATCACAAATGACAGTGGCATTCTCCAGATTTCGAGCATTAATCAAAAGCCATGCTCGTCTTACAGCCTCTATCTCTGATGCTAGACTTGAGGATGCAGTAAAGCATTTTGCAATTCCATCAAACCAGGCCTTCCTCTGAACAATATAGTAAAGTTCCACATGATGCCTTGTTGGTGTCTGGTTATAAGCCCCATCACAGTAGAGGAAAAAGTCAGGAAGCGACTGCTGCATTCTCTCCTCCTCCTCCTCCTCCTCCTCCTCCTCCTCCACAGGTTCCAGGTTCATTCTTTGACGTCCTCTGTCACTCGTAGTGGAGAGCTCATTACTTCACCAATCAAAATTCACGCATACAAATTTGGGCCAAAATTTTGGGTCAAATCACCGTTGAGTTGTGCGGTCTAGTGCGGTTTAATAGGCCTGACAATTTTAAATTTGGCTCGTGAAATGGATACGAACATGATATGGATTAAGCGGGTTTGGATGTAATATTAACAGGTTCGGGTAATTAACAAGTTAATTCATCAACCCTGTGAAATAAACGAATTGGTTTCATGTTTAATCCATAAACGTGTTTCAACCCGTTAACAATGACATTATAAATTTTCAAAAAAAAAATTCTCTCATCCCCTGCCTCACCTTAGAAATAGTGATTTCTTTCACATTTGTTGTTGTGCACAAAGTTTTTTGCTAAGTTATGATTTATTTTTATGATAAACAGATCAAATATAAGTAATGTTTAGCGAGTTGATAATTTTTTATGTGGACTCGAAATACTCTAACCGATTCTCTTATTTAACGAGTAACACAAGTTATGTCAGACAACTTGTCTAATAAATGAGTTGTGTATGAGTATAATAGTTGGATCCGTTTATATAAATGAATGAGATATAGATAGAAATTTTTTTAACACGAGCCCGTTTTATCCGACACGAAATTATTTCACCCAACACGATTACAAGGCCTACTGCTTGGGGCTTTATTAAGGGTCTTACTTTAAGGTTATACGGGTTACGGTGTTATGTTAAATGTTCGATTCATAGGGAGTAAATTGTTGAGTTGTTTTTAACGATTTTGTAAGATTAGGGTCCATTTAAGCCCCTCTGTAGAGCTTACCCAACGAGTGAGGATTTCTTTGGTCACGTCCTACCATGTTTGGTGCCCCACGTTTTTTAAACAGAAAAAAAATGCAATCCCAATTTAATTTAATAATTCGACGAATTTTATTTTTATAATTCATATTCAAATCCAATAAAAATGAAATATATGTTCCAAACATTCGACCTTAGCCAAATAAGTTATAACAATCGAATAATAGTTAAATTAGATTAAACTTGGACTAGATTTAGATTTAAACTCCATCTTCTCCCGTTAATAACTATGACTACAAACAAAGGAAGTGACCAACAACACCAATCATTCTAAAAGAGAGAATTTGAAAAAATAAGAAAATGTTTAGTTCCAACTTTCAAAATTAAGTAATTCTTGAAAAAAAAAAACCCCGACACCTCTAATATTAATTTAAATTTGAAAACATCAGCTATATTATAAGAATTTCCATAATACAATCTTTAATTAGTAAATTCATTACATTCACACCGTAATAAGAATTTTGAAGTAATTGAAAGTCTTATATAACCGAACATACTTGGACAAGTATATGTTCATGCATATTAACAAAGTTTTGAGGGCGTTGCTAACTTGCGCTCCTGCCTTACAATCATACAAATTAATGCTAACTTGCGCAACGATTAGTTCGGGCCTCAGTTAGTTCATGTAAACACTCGTCACTTAGTCTTCTTTTGTTTGCTGTTTGTCTCGGTGCATTGCTAGGAATCCACATATCAATAAGAGTCACCCAACTTATTAATGGGTCATATTATCTATTCTTTCTCTTTCATAGGCATCATGAGATAGAGTTAATCTTAATCACTAGCAAAAATTTAAAATAATATTGTTGTTGCAACAGAGTCGTGAACCGAAAACAATATGCATCATTTTGGGTGATTTGAGGAATAAAAAAGATGGAGATCATTGTGGATGATTTGAGGAACCCAAATTGAAACTTCGTGATTTTAAATAAGGACCCACCCTTTTTATAGGNGGTCTAGTGCGGTTTAATAGGCCTGACAATTTTAAATTTGGCTCGTGAAATGGATACGAACATGATATGGATTAAGCGGGTTTGGATGTAATATTAACAGGTTCGGGTAATTAACAAGTTAATTCATCAACCCTGTGAAATAAACGAATTGGTTTCATGTTTAATCCATAAACGTGTTTCAACCCGTTAACAATGACATTATAAATTTTCNTTAAAATTTATATTATAATATTTTATAATTAAAATTAATTTTTATTTTTTTGAGAAAATATTTTCTTATGAAATGCTATCGCCTAACATTTAGAACTTTTCACATTTGGTTAATTTTCTCTACAATATCATGGTAATGGTACCTATGCATTTTATGGTATGCCGATGTATATCACTAAAAAAATCATGAATATTTGTAAATTGTTAAAAATACATACAAGAAAAGGTTATAAATTATGGAATTGGTTGAGAAAATNCAAATATAAGTAATGTTTAGCGAGTTGATAATTTTTTATGTGGACTCGAAATACTCTAACCGATTCTCTTATTTAACGAGTAACACAAGTTATGTCAGACAACTTGTCTAATAAATGAGTTGTGTATGAGTATAATAGTTGGATCCGTTTATATAAATGAATGAGATATAGATAGAAATTTTTTTAACACGAGCCCGTTTTATCCGACACGAAATTATTTCACCCAACACGATTACAAGGCCTACTGCTTGGGGCTTTATTAAGGGTCTTACTTTAAGGTTATACGGGTTACGGTGTTATGTTAAATGTTCGATTCATAGGGAGTAAATTGTTGAGTTGTTTTTAACGATTTTGTAAGATTAGGGTCCATTTAAGCCCCTCTGTAGAGCTTACCCAACGAGTGAGGATTTCTTTGGTCACGTCCTACCATGTTTGGTGCCCCACGTTTTTTAAACAGAAAAAAAATGCAATCCCAATTTAATTTAATAATTCGACGAATTTTATTTTTATAATTCATATTCAAATCCAATAAAAATGAAATATATGTTCCAAACATTCGACCTTAGCCAAATAAGTTATAACAATCGAATAATAGTTAAATTAGATTAAACTTGGACTAGATTTAGATTTAAACTCCATCTTCTCCCGTTAATAACTATGACTACAAACAAAGGAAGTGACCAACAACACCAATCATTCTAAAAGAGAGAATTTGAAAAAATAAGAAAATGTTTAGTTCCAACTTTCAAAATTAAGTAATTCTTGAAAAAAAAAAACCCCGACACCTCTAATATTAATTTAAATTTGAAAACATCAGCTATATTATAAGAATTTCCATAATACAATCTTTAATTAGTAAATTCATTACATTCACACCGTAATAAGAATTTTGAAGTAATTGAAAGTCTTATATAACCGAACATACTTGGACAAGTATATGTTCATGCATATTAACAAAGTTTTGAGGGCGTTGCTAACTTGCGCTCCTGCCTTACAATCATACAAATTAATGCTAACTTGCGCAACGATTAGTTCGGGCCTCAGTTAGTTCATGTAAACACTCGTCACTTAGTCTTCTTTTGTTTGCTGTTTGTCTCGGTGCATTGCTAGGAATCCACATATCAATAAGAGTCACCCAACTTATTAATGGGTCATATTATCTATTCTTTCTCTTTCATAGGCATCATGAGATAGAGTTAATCTTAATCACTAGCAAAAATTTAAAATAATATTGTTGTTGCAACAGAGTCGTGAACCGAAAACAATATGCATCATTTTGGGTGATTTGAGGAATAAAAAAGATGGAGATCATTGTGGATGATTTGAGGAACCCAAATTGAAACTTCGTGATTTTAAATAAGGACCCACCCTTTTTATAGGCCTTAGAATTACAATGTGTGGCTAACATGTATACAAGTATCATAAATTTATAAAGATTTTAGAATTTTCTAAGAACATTTGTAGAAACTAGATTGTACATGTATTATTTTGAGTTATAATTTTTATATTAATTTTTCAAGTACTTATGAAGCAAACAATGTAATAAGCCCGTTATATAATTCGTCTGATTTAAAATTTATATTATAATATTTTATAATTAAAATTAATTTTTATTTTTTTGAGAAAATATTTTCTTATGAAATGCTATCGCCTAACATTTAAAACTTTTCACATTTGGTTAATTTTCTCTACAATATCATGGTAATGGTACCTATGCATTTTATGGTATGCTGATGTATCTCACTAAAAAAATCATGAATATTTGTGAATTGTTAAAAATACATACAAGAAAAGGTTATAAATTATGGAATTGGTTGAGAAAATATGAAAAGTAAATAAAAGAAAATTAGGTTGTAGTTAAGGAAATTAGTGCAATAATGACAATTCATAGAATTGGTCATCAACCAATAAAAATAAAAAAGAGAAAGGGTGTCATAATATTATTCAAGTCATATTAAATGAAACCTACACTAAATAAGGCTAATTATGTCTTTATACTATTTCATACTGAAATTTATAGATTGGTCATCAACTAAAAAATATATAAAAAATAAAAATAAAGCCTAATTACTTTTGGCAGTTAATTTTTTATTTTAAAAGGAAGAAGATATATGACTTTCATATGAATAATACACTTCGATGGAAGTGTAAGGCTCTTTCCGGCTATCAGGGTTGTCAACACCCTTTGCTCTAATAGTTTCTTAAAACCCAAGCTCCTCTTGATGAACTTGTATTGATACAATGATATAAGGGTTAATCGTAAATATCATTTGAATTTTAATTTATATTTTCAAAGATAAAAAATTTAAATTTGTGCCCTCAAAGATAGAAATTTGTGTCATGAGTTTGAGGTCTAAAATTAAATGGATAAATTACACCAAGACCCTTTTATACTTGTCATTTAATCATTTGGACCCCCTCACATTTAGAATATTACTCATACACCTCCTGACATTTGTGCACACATGACACATAACCCCTTGTCATTTTTATCTGTTAATATATCCGTTAAAAAATATGATTTCATCATAATAAAAAATTATAATTTTATTATATCTTTTATTTTGTGAGCTCGTTATATTTTAAAGTTTAAAATTAAACTTTTTAGTTGAATGTCTAATATAATGCAGATATTTATATAATGTTCTTTATAACCAATACAATCTATTAGTTAAACAAAATTATTTGAATACCCAATTGAAGGAATATTTTTAGTTATATTTAGATTCTCAAGGGATATAGGTGTAATATTTCAAATGTGAGGAGTTTAAGTGATTAATTAACAAACATGAGGGAGTCTAAATATAATTTATCCATTTGGTTTTAAAAAAAATAAATTAGACTGTTAATTTGAGATGCGCATTAATATAAATTTTTATCTTTAAAGATACAAATTGATATTCAAATGATCCTTCCAAATGTAATTTAAGATTAAACTATGTTATAATTGGATCACCTTAGTCCATGATGTATTCAATTATATTTAAGCAATCCCCATGAATGATGCCATCCAAATTTTTAATGGTTTTCGGTGCTATCGACGTGCTCCCAAATGAATGATACGTTTGATAAAAAAAATGAAAATGTAATAAAAATAATTTTTTTATTATTTTGTTTAGTGTAAAAAAAAGTAAAATAAGAGGAACATATTATAAATCAAAATATCAAAAAAGCCCTTGAACCAACCCTTTCACTTTTTCCTCCAGTTTCCGCCCAAATTTGGAGTGATTAAAAATGGCGTGCTGAGTGGATTATCTTTCCACTAACTTTTCCTTTTCTTCCATTTTTCCTCTTCAACCAAACAAAGGAAAATGTTTTTTCCTTCCTCCGTTTTCCATCCCTCCATCTTTCCCTCGTACCCAACCGGCTATTAAGCTTCTCTCATGTATGAGTGATTTCTGCTTCGTGGGTTGAGGTCGGGTTAATTGTGAGCCAATTGTCTGTATTTATGCAGCACAATTGTTGTCCCCTGGTAAATGAAGGTGGTGGGTGGCAAGAGATGCCTCTTGCTGTTGGAGAAATGTAAGAATATGAAGCAACTCAAGCAAGCTCATGCACAGCTAATCACATACGGGCTTGGAAATAATGGCTTTGCCCTAAGCAGGCTATTGGCCTTCTGCTCAGAACCACTTGGTGGCAGCCTCTCTCATGGATTAAAAATCTTTGAACAAATTGAACACCCAACAATCTGCATAGTTAACACAATGATAAAAGCGTTCTTGCTGAGGGATCAACTAATCAAGACAGTAGAAATGTACAGACACGTGTTGGGGAAGGGCATGTACCCTGATAATTATACGCTTCCTTACCTGTTGAAAGCTTGTGCAAACATGAAAAATTGCGATGTTGGAAAATTAATTCATGGGCATTGTTTGAGACTGGGTTTCTTGTTTGATATATTTGTGGGTAATACTTTGATTGTAATGTATTCTGCTTTTGATAACATGGAAGCTGCAAGGTCTGTGTTTGATGAAATTCCTAGCCGCTGTGTTGTGTCATGGACAGTTTTAATTTCTGGGTACGCCAAAAAAGGTGATGTTGAGACGGCAAGCTTGATTTTTTATGAAGCACCGGTGAAGGATGTAGGAGTTTGGGGTTCTATGATTTCTGGGTATGTGCAAAATAATTGTTTTAAGGAAGGATTACAATTGTTTAGGTTAATGCAGTGGAGTGGTATTGAGCCTGATGAGGCTATATTTGTGAGTATACTTTGTGCTTGTGCTCATTTGGGTGCTCTTGATATTGGCATATGGATACACAGTTACGCGGATAAACTCAGGTTGCGGTTGAGTGTTCGGTTAGGCACTGCTCTGATAGATATGTATGCGAAATGTGGGTGTTTGAATTTAGCTGAAAAAGTGTTCTATGAAATGCCTCAAAGAGATACTGTTTGTTGGAATGCTATGATTTTAGGATTGGCAATTCATGGAGACGGAAAGCGTGCTCTCGGGTTGTTTTTGGAGATGGAAAAGTCTGGAGTCCGGCCTGATGACATTACATTCATTGCCGTTTTCACTGCTTGTAGTTATTCTGGCATGGCGAATGAAGGCCTACGGGTGTTGGATAGAATGTGTAATGTGTACAATATTGAGCCCAAAAGTGAACATTATGGTTGCATAATTGCCTTCCTCAGTAGATCTGGTCTATTTGAAGAAACTAAGGATATTATTCAGAAAATGCCAGGATTGAGCGATGCTTCTGAGGAGGCAGTAGCTTGGAGAGCATTGCTTAGCGCTTGCTGTTATGATGGACAAATGAAATTGGCTGACGTAGCAGCAGAGAGATTAGTGCACTTAGAGCGCCATAGTGGGATGTATGTTCTGCTCTCAAACACATATTCTGCTGTAGGTAACCATGATAGTGCGAGGAAAGTAAGGAGAATGATGAAAAGCCGAGGGATAGACAAGACACCAGGTTGCAGCTCACTTGAAATCAATGGCATTGTACATGAGTTTGTTGCGGGGGAGAAAACACATTCTCAGATGGGAGAAATACGTGAACTGTTGGAGATGATTAACAAGCAGTTGGATTAGTCGGGGTAAAAGTCAAAGCTGTTTCAAGGTGATCAGACATGATATGATGGTGCACAATTGCAATCCTTGCCTCATTTAAAGCCATAATTATTTGTAAGATATGTTCACCTAGTCTTCCTCAAGGGTCTGTTTTTACTATCAATCGGAAGCTACAGACACTGAAATTCGAGTCTCGCCATCTTCAACAGAGGTTTTCTGAAAAGCATACTGAGAGTGGTTTCTTCTCAATGTAATTTGAGATCCCCTGCTACAAGCATGTTTGGCAGCAGTAAACTCTATATCTAAATTGCAAATGAGTCAAGCTTAAGGTAGATATCGAATTGGCAACTGTATACATTTTCGGTTCTTTGACCTAACAAGCAATGGTAGGCAGCTTGGTAAAATGTGACCAGTTGCTTATGAAGATACTTGCACTATGAATGATCATCTTTGATGTCTCTGAGAGACACTGATGAATACAACTCTCACTTAACCTTGTCAAGAATTATTGCACAGGTTATTTTCAAGGGATTGCTTCAAAATGGCAAGTACTATAAGTTGCAATCCAATATTGGAAAGAGACATCTAGCAAGGTTGGCACTTATCTATCGAGCTCATTTTTCTAAATGAGTCGAGTCTGAACCGAGTCGAGTCTAAGTAGTTTGACTATTCTATATATAAATAAATGAGTTGAACCTTTTTAGGTTCATTTTTTTAAACACGCTTAAAACTTTGTTCAAATTCAGTTCGTTTTTCAAGATAAGTCCGAATAACTTGACTTGATTATCAATCCTAATTGCATATTCTTAAGAGTGTCATGGGATACATGGCCTCTCTATAAAGTCCTAACTCATTCATTTATGTGCTTTTGCAAGTTGCAACAAATATATTCATATTTTATGTATTAAAATGACAATTTACTCACATTCACTGATATAAAACCAAAACTATACATGAAAATATTTAATGAGGATGAACTAGCCACTGCAAAAGGACCTTTTTACCCTCACAATGTAACAACCTCATTGAATCTTATCAGCTTTCCTATAACAGCTCCAAATTTAATGAAACTCATGGGCTTCTCTTGAAAGTACTTCTTCTTCACTTCCCACCCAGAGAGAGTAGAACCAAGAAAAAGAAGTACACCTACTACTCCCACTATTTCCATGCTTGTTTTTGTTGCTTCCACTCTGATTAATATCATTTGAAAACCCCAGAATTGAATCCAAAAACAAGGGTGGAAATGGCAATCTTCTCTCTGAAAGAAGGGTTTGGAAAAAGAAACAGAAAAAAACTCTGAGATGATAGTAACTGACTGGTTGATTACCTGAGTCCATGACCAAGTTCTTTCCTCCAATGGTCGTAGTGATTGTAAGATCAGATGTTTTCTCTGAGAATGGTGTCCAAGAAAATGAAAGAAAATGGCAAGAAATACTGATATTTATAGACTTATAGTTCAAGAAATGGAAAGGAATGATGAGGAGAAATTTTTTTGGGAAATCTAGAGGGAAATGGGTAGATTAATGTAGAAAATTTGGTGGTGAAGAGTATGGGAATCTTCAGTTGTGAAGAGGGTTGGGACCAGAGGGGACTAGTCTCTTCTCTACACCGTATCTTGAATCAATCTCATCAAGTGATGATGGTGGCGGTGGTGGTGGGAGAGGGAGGCAGTGGCGTATTCCTTGGAGTTTAAAGCACATCAGAGGCGGAGATATGGTGGAGATGGTAGGGCAGGAATGGTGGTAGGGATGGTCATGATGAAAGTGGCGGCGGAGTGAAGAAGGTCTCGGGAACTTTGGGTTGGAGAGTTGGGTGGAGGAGGTTGCTACAAGATGGAGAAAAAGTATCAGAAGAAGAAGCCGATGGCCAGTTGAAGGGGGAGAGCTCTTCATAGCGCTTATCTTGAGAGAGATAGAGACAGATGGAAAGGTGGTGAAGTGCTTGTTTTGTGCTAGTGGAGTTTATAAAGAGGTCAAATGGTTGACAAACTTCTGGCACCGAATTCCATATAACAAACAAATTTGCAGACAAACAAAGTATTCGCAATTACGTGGTTTTTATAAAATTGGAAGCTGAATAGTGAAAATTATATGCTTAATTTTAATTATTGAATGTTAAATTTTTTATTTATAAATTATTTAGTATTCACTGAAATTTAAGTATTGAATTAAATTAAACTGTTTGATAAATATAAAACCTTGAAATCTAAACAATATTATTTTTCTAACTTTCTCTTTTTTTTTTAACTATCTCACAATAACTACCTTATTTCTATCACTATTATTGTGATAGTGGCGGTGGTAATAACACAATGGGGGTGGTGCTGGCAGCGGCACAATGATGGTGGTTGTGGTGGATAAGCTTTGATGGGTTAAGCCCAAATAGTCCAATTTATGTATTAAAGCCCAGCCCTGGTTGAGGAGCCCAACCTCATTGTGAATCCACCAAGTCCAAGACAGACCAAGGCCGGTTACACTTCTTGCTTAGCACGTCACCAACAGGAGAGCACGAGAAGTTTATCTACACCGCCTTAGGGAGCCCAAGGCCGGTTGGACTTCTTGCTTAGCACGTCACCAAGA